CTCAGCATCCCTTTAAATTAATCGGGCAAGAATAGGCACCACTTAAAGCGAGATTCACATGAGGCTGCCTTTCATCAATGATAATGAAACTTCAATAGAAGCAAAAAATCAATATCTGAAAATGGACTTGGAATAACCGTAGAAATATTCAGAATAAATCATAATCTAGGCATATGATATGAATAGCTTTTCGCTGAAAAAAGTATTAAATTTAGACAATACAATCATGAAAAACGTATTGTATCCAATCCAATCAAACTACTTGGATGCTAAACCTACCGTTAATTTCGAAACGCAACTAAACTGGATGATCAAAGTTGAAGACCTAGGTGAAAATTTTGAGAATTATAGGTGAAAATTTTGAGAATTATTAAATTTGTAAAATTTTTCAAAAAGAAAGTGTATTTTTTTATTTAAGGTATTGCCCTAATCAATTCATTATATTGATATTCCTAATCAATTCATTATATTAATATTCCTAATTAATCTTATTCCTAATTAATTCATAATATTGATATTACTAAATTTCCATTTTTCATTTACTTACCAAATAAGCTTTATTAAGTATTTGACCAATAAAATATAAAATATATTTAATTAATTTGACTACAAAGTTTGGGCGGGAAAATAAAATAGGAGGATTTTACTTTTATATATATATATATAGATATAAATTTGTATCAAGCTTGAGTGTTGTACAGAATTACAAAAATTCAAATACTTTAAAAACTATAGATGTATTCAAGAAATGGAAAATTACATGTAGATTTGGAGCTTGAAGTTGTAAAAAGAACATGTGATTAATGCGAAGGCTGAAGTGTGAATTGCGACAGTCTGAACTGTGTCGTGAGCTCTGTTCTACTACAGTCTAGTTTTGATGGTTTGAGAATTGGGATTGAAAGTCAAAAGGCAAATAGTATAAAACTTATTCTAAAAATTTGCTTTGAGGGGGGCAAAATAGTAAATATTTGGGGAGGGGGGTAAAAAAAAAAATACTATAGAAATACTAAAAAAAAAATGGTGAGGGGGGCCAAGGCCCCCTCCTTTCCTTAAGTGGTTCTATCACTGTCTATTATGTTAGAGTTTATGTGTATTCTACTATATAATTATGTACATACGAAACAAGAGATTTTTAGGACGCACAATGCATTGTGTGTCCTTGTGCACGATATAACAATTGGGCATTCAATAACCCCAAATCATTTAAAGCTCAAGCCCTACCCAAAGCCCAATTACAGTCCGTTGTACCAGTTTTGGGCCATATTTTCAGCCATCACCCAATAAAATAGTTGGCTAGATGGTCCAAAAATAGGCCTCCACAAAATGCCCATTAGCTGTCATCTGCTTGTGCCGTTTGTCGGTTAAAATTAATTCCACACGGTGGAAAAGGACCGTTCCTTCACCGCAAATTTTACTATGGACCATGGTCTATGTAAAAACAGTCACACAAATTATTGTGCGGGTTATAGTTTATATTTTTTTTGAATGCTAGTTCTATTACAATGTAATATCTGTTCATATACTTTCTCAATCTACTGAAATACAAAGAACCAATAACGTCTCTATTGAGGCTCAAACTCATAACCTTCCAAATAGAAATCCAACTCGGATACCACTAGACCATATAATCTTGGTGGATTATAGTTTATATAATGCTATATGAATCATAATAAAAAGTATATTTTTAATATGTTAAATGTATATTATTTGTATACTGAATATACATTATACAAAATAGTGTACTTTTTTTTTTTAATACAATGTACATTTTTAATATACTAAAAGTACATTATTTGATAGTATGGTCCACACAATAATGATTGACAACGTGAACCATTAAGTATATATCATTTTAATTACACTTTAGTTTCATTTGACAATATTGCTATGTTTTTTTAGTTTCATTTTCCCTCCACACTAGTTTCATTATAGCAATACTAAAGTATCATTTTAATTCTACTATAGTTTCATTTGATAATATACATTATTGCATATTTGCATGGTTTTTATTTTTTTGTTTGTTTGTTTCATTTTCCATACACTAGTTTAATTATAGTAATGTTAAAGTATTATTTTAATTGCACTTCGGATCATATTAAGTGGGACGTGAAATTCCTAAAAAGCTCATTGCTTTAAATGGTTGTTAAAAGAAAATTTCACGGAAGTATTAAATTGGCTACGATTGAAATAATATAATTGTGGGATTGAATCTATTCAAATTAAAAACCAGGGACTACATTGCATATTCGCTAATAATTGAGGTACCGAAAGTGCTATTTCCCCTTTTAGAAATATTTTTTTTTTGATATATATCTTAGTTTTATTTTAAAACGATTATAGCGCACTCTTTTTCTTTGATTTACCGAAAAGTTCACATGCCGTCACTATTTGAATGTACTTTTCGTGTAAAACTCATCTTATGACGCTAGTTGACAAATGACTATATAAATATAAACCAATCTAGATTATTCATAGTTGACCGATTTAAACCGAGAAAGTCATTAAGTCACTTTCATTAAAAAATTAAATTTAAAACTTCGTGATTAACAAGCTAACAACTTGACTAACTCTATCAGTTTCTGCCTCCATATTTTTTTTCTAATCAATGGCCATATTAGCTGCGGTGCACAACCACATATGCAGAAGATTGAGAGAAGCCCGCATGGCAGTTCAACTGATCATAGAGGTGAAAGTTGGAAAGAAGATTGAGAGAAACCAAAAGAAGTTGAAGTGACTAAAAAATTGTTGTTTTGCGGAGGCTGCGTGTCTGCTGGTCTGTTTGTGGTGTGATACCCCTTAATTTAGGCATCATAATAATTAGGTTTGTTTAAACAACGTTAAGGTCAGGGCACTGTGACTGTTCCCCTAACTTGTTGACAATTCCAGACATTATCTTCATTTACACAATCATGTTGTTATAAATTTTTTCTTTGGACCGCCGCGCCATTGCATCTTTTTCCCCACTTGCTGTAATTATTTTGTCATCTGGCAAAATTTGGTTTTGAAGTTTTGTTTCATACTAGCATTTGAATTGAGGAGAAATTACAGATTATCGTCTTTATCCTTTAATTTGTGAAAAAGTCTATAACAGATAATCAGGAGTAGACTTCGGATGAAATTCATGATTATAGTTGAAGGTTAATAGACACTTTTCACATTGAGCCAAACTTAGAGTGTTGTGGTTACTAAGTCAATTGATCGACCAATTCGGTTGGAGTTAAGAAATAATTTTGATCTAGATAATATAATACGTTAGAGTAAAGAATAAAAAGCAAACAATTAAGAAAAGACTATTTATTGAAGTAGACAATTAATTTAGAATTAAACTGCACATAATTGTTGTTTGCAGGACAAATATTTAGTGAATATATAAGATGTTGCACTTAGAACTCGCTTTCACCGAAATTTGGAGTTGGACTCCACATAGCATAACTTTTCAACCCTTTCACGAGATCCCTACTATTCCACATTAGGGTTATCTCCACATGATTTTTGGAATTTTCTTTGTTAATAATACCTCCACATGATTTTTGGAATTTTCTTTATTAATAATACATACTCTCTCCATCACATTTTATGTGTCTGGTTCAGTTAATGAGATTTGATTGATATTATTTTTAATACAATTTTTCATAATATTAAGTTTAGTATTAGTATACAAAATTTATATACCCAGATACTAAACTAAAAATATTATTAAATACATAAAAAAAATTAAAAATAAGTAAAACATATCGAAAAAAATAAACAAAAAATAAAGAGTTAGTTTGATCAATTTATAAATAAAAGAGTTAAAATGTACATATGTGATAGATTACTACTTAGTACACACTAAAGTTTTGGTGTTTTGTCCTGTGTGGGTCAGCTAACAAGATATGGGTACAGGAGTGATTCTCGCAAACAAAAAAGGGGTTTGGTGGACCAAATTGAGGATTAAAGTTTCATGTCTCATGTAAACAGTTCATCATTATATCATATTTGGTATACCATGCATGTTGTTCCATTCTTGCAATGTTAGACCAAATGTCCTACAAATATGGTAATTTGATTAGTATTTTAATATCTAAACAATTAAGTAATCCGAGGATATATGGGCAAACAAAATTTAAAATACTTTAATTTACGAGAAAGTCTATTACTTAAAATGTGTTACGGTTGAAACTCATCTTATGACCAGACTACAAGGTAACAGGGCGTTGGTTGGAGGAAGGAATTAAGTGGGAAGAAAGAATTAGGTGGGAAAGAAGGAATTAGGTGGGAAATGAATTGTAATTTGGTGGGAAATGAATAAGGTGGGAATAAAGTAAGAATCAAATTACGTTGTTTGGTAGAGAGAAATAAAATTATTGGAATTGAGAAGAAATAAGTAATATAAAGACTAAAATACCGTTGTGTAATAATATAATAGTAATAACAACCGTATGTGTGGAATTACAATTCCTTCCAACCAAACAATGTAATTTAAGCATCCACTGAATTGCAATTCAACTATAGCTAAATTATAGTGAACACCCTGTAAAATCGTTTATACAATAATATAATAGTAATAACAACCTTATGTGTGGAATTACAATTCCTTCCAACCAAACAATGTAATTTAAGCATCCACTGAATTGCAATTCAACTACAGCTAAATTATAGTGAACACCCTGTAAAATCGTTTATACAAGAGTCAAACTTGAAATTGGTATTTATTATGCTAAAAGGTGCCCACAGACCCTAAGTGTAGGAGACACCTTTAAGCCCGTACTATGTTCAAACTAATCATGTTCACACTGGGCCGACTCAATTAAGGGTTCACACTGGGCTGACTCAATTAAGAGTGTGATGTTCACACTGTGCCGACTCAATTAAGGGTTCACACTGGGCCGGCTCAATTAAGGGGCAAAGTGCTGGCCATATTAATTTTTTCATACAAGAAGATGTTCAAGCTTCAAACTCCCCGATGAGAGTGCATAGCCACTCACGCCCAAAGCTGGATAAATTTAAGACTCTTTAAATACACTGAGAAACTTAGTGTATACACTGGTTTCCATTCATTACACAGTTGATCACATTTCCAGAATTTGCAAAAGTACATCATCACAGAGTTACTGCATGCAAACTTCCATTGAAATCCATGCCAAAACTAGAAGGAGGAGAAGTTAATGCCAAACACCACCTTATTACATGCCAACCCAAAAGCCAGTAACAGTCACCATCCTAAGATGCCCAAAACCCTCAGACTATCCACCTATCTGTTCCCCTACTTCTACCCCTCCCACACACATCTTCTCCCACCTTCCATTTTTAGCATCACCCACCTCTCTTCTCCCCCAAATTTCTAACTACAAAAAGCAGTAAACCAGTAACTACTGTAACTGGGAAAACCCAAGCTCTCTAGTTACTCATCTTCACACTCTCTTTGGTGTTCTTGGTTTTGTTTGCTGGGTATTTCAAGGCATTAAGCTCAACTTTTCTAAGTGCAGCTTTGCCAAGATCAATGCCACACACATCAGACAGCCTCACTAAGTACAGCAAAACATCAGAGAGCTCTTCTCCTAGGTGTGTCTTTTCTGCCTCTTCCCACCCTGGAAGCCCCTTTGGCACCTCCCCTTTCCATTGAAAAATCTCTGAGAGCTCTCCCACTTCTCCCACCTGTATGTTAACCAGTGAATCATCATCAAGAAAATGTCAAATTTTGGCTGTGAAATTGTTTTGATCATTGGGATTTTCACAGGCACTAATGAAAATTATAGAATTTCCGACCACCTGAAAATGATCTTTTGATACCAAAAAGTCCAAAAAGTGGTCAAAAATAGCAAAAGTGGTCGGAATAAGGCTTTCGACTTGATTTAATAAGATTACTTTCAGGTGGTCGTAAAATCCATAAAAAATCCATAATTTTCAGTAGTGGGGAGGGCTCATTTCTTGGGCATCAAGAAACAACAAAAATGGGATCATCAACACACAGATTTTAACTACCCACAACAGGATCATAAGCAAAGGGCTTTTCTTCCCTGCAAATCAGATTACACAATGGATAGAAAATTCTCAACAAAAAAAAAAAAAAAAATGCTGTCTTGCAGGCTTGCAGCAGCATAATATAGTCTATCCGAAAAAGTTAAGGACCAGCAGAAAAGGGGAGGGTTTTGCTTCTGAATCATCAACAAAAAAGTGTATCTACTTTGAACACAAATCTTGAAGAAAAAAGTATGAAAGAATGGAGGTTTGTTGCAGAATACCATGGCAAGAAGGAGGTTCCTGGGGCTGTGAAACTTCTCCCAATCTCTCTCCTTGGCAAAATCATCCATCTTCTTCTTCAGAAGATCAAGGCTCACACTCCCTTCTTCTCCTGTCATCTTAAGAAAGAACAAAAACAAAAGAAAACGGAGGAATTCGCAAATACAGAGAGAGAAAGGGTTTCAGCGATTTCTGGTGAGATTTGATGGAATTTGTGTAGAGATTTACGGGTATTTATTGCTATTGAAAGGAGACCAGAAAACAGAGGAAGTCATTTCAATCCGGGGAGCCTCCCGGAAACCGGACACTGCCGGTTTCATAGTACGCGTGACTAAGTTGTGACGGCTTTAGTAACCGACACGTGCCAGTTAATATGTACCCGCGTTAAAAAAAAAAAAAGACGGTCATTATTCTTTTTCGCAAAAGGTTGAATTCTCCACCCAAGGGCTCTCACATCCGGCTGGATGGAGTATCGGGAAAGATGTAAATTGCAATGCTTACTGTGCACAAGGAACACCTCACTATGAGAGGTTGTTACCGCACTGTCGCGGACCGACCATTATTCTTCTTCTCCCAAAACGTTGAATCATCAACCCCAATGACCCATACCCTGGTCTGACAGAGCATTTAGGAAGATGTAAATCACAATTGCTCAATGACTCAGTAAACATGATCAAATGTCAATGCATAAGGAATCTATTCACTTCGAACATAATCTCCACAGTGTCATTGCCAAAATTCAAACATTGATCTCTCCCTCTAAATAGTATCTACTAGACCCACATAAATTATATATTGTTGACTGATTCAAAAAAAAATAAAGTCAATAAATAATTCTCACTCATAGTCAAACTTAAAACTTAATTATTACTAAGCAAATAACATAACTAATTTAGCTGGTGTTCAAAATTACTCATGCATAAAAAAAAAAAAAAAAAAAAAAAAAAAAGAGTAAATATCCAAAATGGTCCATCGACTATAGCTAAATTCACAAATTGGTCCTCGACTTTCAATTTCAACCAATTAAGTCCTTAACTTTGTAAATTTAACACAATTTGGTCATCTGTCTATTTGGCCGTTTGTTGACTGTGATTTTTAAGGATATATATGTAATTTCATGGCCCATCGTCGATTTTTAAAGGTTCTAGTTGCATTTCCAGACCGCACTGTTACATTTGAATCCACTGCCGAAAGCAATCTACCAAATCCTATCGCCTTTCTTCGTCCTCCCTTTGGATTCAATGTAGTTGAGTTCATACCAGAGCGAAGAAGACGACGTGTTTCCGAACCAGTGCAACGTCATCCTGAAGGCCTCCACGTGCTCCGACGAGAGCTGAAGGTTCTTCTGGAGATCGTAGGTCACGGTCAACAAATGGTCAAATAGATGGAGGACCAAATCGTGTCAAAATTACAAAGTTAAGGACTTAATTGGTTGAAATTGAAAGTCAAAGACCAATTTGTAAATTTAGCTATAGTCAAGGGACCATTTTGGGTATTTACTCTAAAAAAAATATTAAAAAAAATAAATTGTGGGGCCAGGTGGACGTTGGTCTCACAACATTAGAATTATATATATGTTTTATATGTTTTTTTAAGAATTAGTGTCAAAATAATATAAAAATCTATTATTTTATTCGAAAAATATACTTTAAAAACAATGGATTACGATTCTTCGGCGTTCAAAGATCTGATAGTTTTAAAGAATTAAAAAAAGAATATATATTGTGGTGGGGACAAAGCAAAAAGTACGAAGAAAACAGTGAGTGGGCAGGAGACAAACATTATCTTTGCTACGCCGTACCCTACCAAATCTCTCCTCCCTACCAATAATATCCGACTCACGTTCCATTCAATAATCTAATAATTTCTTTTTTATTTATTTAAGATAAGTTATAATTAATCTTATACTTCATAATTTTTAGAAAAAATTGCATTTTTTTCTTAAATTATAGGATAACTATAGAATTTGTCATTAAGTGTTGATTTTGCTCAAGTTTCGCTCCTAAGCTATTATTGATGTTGCACTTTTCGTCCCTAAGTTAACTTCTCGTGTCTATTTTTCATCTCTAATATTTTACTAGTAAATGGTTAAAAGTGCAACGACAATGATAGTTTATGGTTGAAAGGTAAACAAGATCAACATTTATGGATAAATTATACAATTACTCTATAATTTAAGGACGAAAAGTGCAATTTTTCTATAATTTATTTTGGAAAACGTAAGTTATCTATACCGTCTATTTTTTTTTTTTTTTTTGAATGACGTAAAAAATTTGTAGTCACTATGAAGATGTACACATGATAAACCATGTTCATATATACGGAGTAATATTTTGTAAATTACACGAGAAAGGTAAATCATATTAGGAAGACCATGCACAACAATATTGACTAAAGGGTGTTATAAAGAATCAAATTCTTGATTTTTATGTAGAAAAATTATGTTCCACTTGGCCACCTCTTTCAATGGTCTATACCTATTGTACTATTCTTTAAAGTAAACTTCGCAACATTAGAGCACCACCATCAACTTAGTTTTTCACGGTTTTTTATAATCCAATTAGGAGAGAGAGGAATTAAAAAAAAAAAAAAAAAAAAAAACTGAAAAAGTTGACCCAAAAAAAAAAAAAAAAAAAGACAAACATAACACGCCAGCCAGCGCGTGCACTGTATACGCCCGACTGGACGTTTTCTGTGCACACAACACACACAGTTATAGCAATTTTCTGTTGATTCTCTCCTAGCGGGCTCCACAAAAAATTTCACTTGCAGGACATACTTAAATTTCCCTCTTTTAGCTTCTCATTCATCCACATTATAAAGGACCTCACAAAAAAAAAAAAAAAAAATATTGATGTGAGTGCTCTTATATAGAGTATTTTGTAATATAAAAATATAAAATGAACTATGTAGTATTGTAGAGTGTACTCTATAATATTATTATAGATTAATAATTTAAATGTTTCACTAATTTGATTGAGATTGTAATTTTTTTGGGTCATATTTTCTTATCTACTTCATTGCTGTTGAGTTATTCAAATTGTAAATATCAAATATCAAATAAATAAATAAAAATTGATAATAATGTATTAATGTCAAATTAGAAAAATATGAATAAAAAATACAGTAGTCATTTTCTCCTTTCATATATGATAGCCCTATATGGCTATGAGATAGCTTGCCGCGGCATCCACTATATGATAAAGAATATATTTAATTAATTATTAATATTAATTTTACTTTAATAATCCTTCACCAGTTCACGGGTTGATCTTTGGGTCAGCAATTTCCCTTGTTCACATTTGTGACTTTGTGTCATTGGGTTGATCTAAATTGTGTATATTCCGATTGAAAAATTATGTATGCTTAGTTATAATAAATTATATGTATGAATTAATAGATTGTGCGTCTGTAAATAAATTTAAGATATATAATATGTTAAGTACATTCATAATTTCATACTATGTACATGTATCTAGTTAACATATTATGTGTATTTAATTAATTTATTTACAAACACATAATTAATATTGCAGAAGGCGCTAAGCGTTAATTGGGCGTCACCTAAGTGGTCGAGTAATCAGAGTATATTGTCTATACTTTTCTCACTCTGAGTTGGAAGTGGTTAGACTGTTATAATCCCTCAAACTAGTGAACTGCATATGTTAGATGATTAGTTGAATACATGATTGAGAGAATATAGAAGACGAATAACCAGATAGGCAAAAAAAAAAAAAAAAACCCACTCACCCAAGTTGAATGCAAACTTGGTCGAGTTAGACACCAACTCAACCAAGTTAGGTGCCTAGTCGGTCTGTTAGTCGCCCGACCGACTAAAAGCCGTCTAGGAATGAAATCGTCTCGGTCTAGGGACGTCTAAGCGGCCACCTAAACTAGTTTTTATACATTGTACATAATTTGAATGTGATTTTAGATCAAAGTCAACAATGCAATATGAACATTGGTCCATAGTATAATTTGACCATCATTAACCACTATTTATATTATATCTATATCTATATCTATATATAGTGTATAATGTTACTGTGATAAAAAATAAAATTTATTCATCTAATTGTTTGGATGGTGGTAATTAAATTGTTAACGCAATTGCATGGTTAGTGTTTTCTTGAGTAAAAGTCTGATTCTTTGAATTAAATTTGAATTAGTCTTACAATAATGATATTACATAACTTATGCAAAATAAATAAATGGTTGACCAATCCAAAACAAAATTCATAATGTTGTTTTGAGAGGAGAAAACCTTTAGACCATCAAATTCTATTATGTACCTTATACATCAAAATTTCTAGACTAGACTGGTATGAACTCTCAAGATTATAATATTATCGTTTTGTATTAGGCTATCTTTATCCTATTCATGCAAATCTTTCGCTTTTAAAAGTGTATGTATATCATTGTCATATCATAGTATTTGCCATTTATTCGTTATTTCTTTTATATTTATACAATTTCAACTCACCTTCAACAAGAATAATATAATAAGTAATAACACACTCTCTTCTCTCCCCTCTCTCATCACTCCTCTGTAAGATTTTTCCTAATAATATATATTATATATTATATATTAGGGTCTTAATTAAGTGGTGCAAGTTGACTAGGCTTATTAAGTGGTTTGGTTGGACTTAATAACTAGTAGTTGTTAGTCAACCAAACTCTGTGCTTAATATAACCTGGATTGATGGGATACAGGATTATGGATTGCTATTGATGGGATACAGGATTATGGATTAGTTAGCACATTCAGTTACGGTACTCAGACTGCTCAGTAGATACCAATACACCATCTAGGGTTCTAAGTCAGGTCTGAGGCAAAACATGGCTAACGGTCTACCGTTAAGAGGCAACACAACAGGAACATCAACTATGGCTGGAGATCTACATGGCTACGCCTCCGCTATCATACGAGGTTAGGTTTCTCGTATACTATGGTTCATATAGTTAGACTATTTTAGATCTAACATCCTATACATGACTAAGAAAAAAAAAAAAAAAAACTCAAGAGAAACCCAGCCATGTGGAAGTTCTTACATATGATCTCCTATATACAAAACATGCCCAAAAAGTACCCTATAATGACTTCACTTTGATGGCACTACATATACAAAAGATGATATGGCTCTGACAGGGATGAAATGGTTGCAAGCACATGCACAAAACACAGTACATTCTACTACTATTATCTTCAACATTAATGTTAATTTACTATTACAAGATTCTGTAAACGTCTATCGTTTTATTACTGATAAAAAAATTAATATGATGAAGGCAGGATTTGAGTGAAAGAAAAGAAATGAATTTGCTTTATTTACACTAAACACGACCATGGTCAGATTTTGAGGCGTGCAAGATAGACCTCAATTTTTAGAGATTTTACCGTTCATACTTATTTGAAATAAAAAGTATATATTTTAGTAAAACTTCTTTATTAAATCATCAACGTAATAAATTAAAACATGATATGTAGGGTGACCTGAAACTCGTGTTATATATGCAAGGAAAGAGATAGTGGATTTATAACCGGATTCAATGTTCTGTAAAAAAAATAAATAAATAAAAAATGATGTGCCAAAGAAACTGGTTATTCCATGGCTCTAAAAGTCATGCAATTCATATACCATTATGTATGCAATTTTATTGTTTTTTGTCTCTTTTTGAGGACTTTGGCCTAATCTTTTTGCCTAATAATACTGATAGGGTAAAAGCTTGCATTTTCCGTCAAAAGTACGGCATGATCAGTCATTTTCTACTATGACTTTTGTGTATAATCACAAAGCATTACGTAAGAAATTATTTTATTTTATTTATTAGTGTGCTGTGGGGGAAAAGTTGAAAGCATCATACTCACTCACTCAATTCATCTGAAAATAATAATAATAATAATAATAATAATAATAATAATAATAATAATATTATTATTATTATTATTATTATTATTATTATTATTAGCCGTAATTCATGAACGCGAAGAAGAAGAAATAACTTATATAAAAAGACTATTTTAGCTTCATGAATAAATTTTTTTAAAAAGTTTAAGTTTTTTCGGTCAATTTCCACCTGTGATTTAGCCGGAAAGACCAAATCTACTAAAAAATCATAATTAAAGGACTAAATTGTTAATTTTAAAAGTCATGGAGCGAAATTAACGGAGCGTTATGCCATGGAACCGTGTTCACCATGAATGGTGAGCACGGTTCCAACGGTGTTAGTACACCGTTATCTTTTTTTTTTTTTCTTTTCTTTTCTTAATTAATTGCGTGACTTTTCTTCTTCATTTTCACATTTTGCGGTTTCACTCTAATTTGAGGTGAACAATGATTTCGGACATTCATAAATTATGAATTCATGCCTGCACATTCACTTTGGAACCATGCCTACACATTCCCGTCCGAAATCACGGACATTCATAAATTATGAATCCATGCCTACACATTCACTTTGGAACCATGTCTACACATTCACTTTGGAACCATGAGATTATGAATTTTCTGTTATAAGATTATGGATTTTCAGTTATGAGATTATGAATTTTCAGTTATGAGATTATGAATTTTCTGTTATGCGATTATGAATTTTCTGTTATGCGATTATGAATTTTTTGCGGTTTCACTTTAATTTGAGGTGAACAATGATTTCGGACATTCATAAATTATGAATTCATGCCTGCACATTCACTTTGAAACTATGCCTACACATTCCCGTCCGAAATCACGGACATTAATAAATTATGAAAATCCATGCCTGCACATTCACTTTGGAACCATGCCTACACATTCACTTTGGAACCATGAGATTATGAATTTTCTGTTATAAGATTATGGATTTTCAGTTATGAGATTATGAATTTTCAGTTATGAGATTATGAATTTTCTGTTATGCGATTATGAATTTTCTGTTATGCGATTATGAATTTTTTGCGGTTTCACTTTAATTTGAGGTGAACAATGATTTCGGACATTCATAAATTATGAATTCATGCCTGCACATTCACTTTGAAACTATGCCTACACATTCCCGTCCGAAATCACGGACATTAATAAATTATGAAAATCCATGCCTGCACATTCACTTTGGAACCATGCCTACACATTCACTTTGGAACCATGAGATTATGAATTTTCTGTTATGCGATTATGAATTTTCTGTTATGAGATTATGAATTTTATGAAAATTCATAATCTCATAAAAGAAAATTCATAATTTGATCAATGCGCGCCGTTAACTCCACATCCGCAATTTTTTTTTTTTTTTTGCCTAAAAACGACGTCGTTTGGCCTTGTGTTCACCATTCTCGGTGAACACGTTTCCAGGGCATAATTTGCCGAAATTAACACGTCCCCTATAGTCATAGGACCAAAAGTGTAATTTGCTCTTTTGTTAAATTAATAATATTGACACTTACTAGTTTCTTTATAAAATAGATTGGCATGTTGGGTTTTGGCAAATTATGCCCTGGACCCGTGTCCACAATGAATTGTGGACATGGGCCCAAAACGACGTCGTTTAAAAAAAAAAAAAAAAAAAAAAACGCGTCATTTAGTTTTAAAAAAAAAAAATCGCGCGCGTTTTGTCGTTAACGGTGTTATTTTTTTTTTTGGATTATGAATGTACAGTTATGCCGTTATGAATGTACAGTTATGGAGTTATGAATGTACAGTTATTAACATATAGTAACAAAATTATGAACATATACTCTAATAACGAAGTAGTCTGAATTTAAAAATAAAAAATAAAAATAACCTTACCTAACGGCACTGTTACCCGTGTCCAGCAAGCATGCTGGACACGGGTCCAACGCATAACGATTGTTGGGTTTTGAATTGGGCCTACATATGGTTCATGTTGTTCTTTTGCATGTAGCCCAAAAGGACCAAATCCAGCAGAAAAATAAATGGATTGCTCACGCGGTTGTGGAGATTTCATAAAAGAAATTGAGATTCAAACCATCCACTTTTGTAACATTTTCAATTATAATCGTCTTGTTATGAATACTTCATTTTATGACCATTATCCCACTCTTTCTATACTGTGGAGTGAAAATAAGATTTTGACAATAAATCGACAAGTTTGGGACAAGAGAAAGCGCGGAGCATTGAGATTAAATTAATGCGCTAATCGCGCAGTTCATTTCTGCGCGCTCCCCCTGCAATAAAACTTAAAAACCATTTCCCACTTCTCTCCATTGAAGTACTAATAGTGATCTTGAGAGTGAGAGAGATAGAGAGGATCGGAGGAGGGGAAAATGGGGGCGGATGAAGAAGGGGAGTATCTGTTCAAGATAGTAGTGATCGGAGACTCGGCGGTGGGGAAATCTAACCTGCTTTCGAGGTTCGCCAGAGACGAGTTCGACAGCAACTCCAAAACCACCATCGGAGTGGAGTTCCAGACGCAGGCGGTGGAGGTCGACGGCAAGGAGGTGAAGGTCCAGGTGTGGGACACCGCCGGTCAAGAGCGCTTCCGCTCCGTCACCTCCGCTTATTACAGAGGCGCCGTCGGCGCTCTCATCGTCTATGACGTTACCCGTACGCCTACTTTTGACAACGCCAAACGCTGGATTGAAGAGCTCAATAGTAAGTTCGTTGGACTATCCTAGTCAATTTCACATTTTAATCAAATATTCCAATTTCTTTTCTTTTACAAATCCTCAAACATTATAGTACTTGAAAGAGATTGCCTACCTATTGTAACTTAAGTCACTTAATTTGATTCTCAAACATTTCAATTTCGATAGTTTATCACAAACTCAGGCAACCTAATCTGATTTACTGACTTAAAATGACTATAAACTTTAGGCAATATATATGCTACTGACTCTATTACATTGTAGTATCTGTTCAAATATACTTTCTCAACCTAATGAAGCACAAAGAGTCAACGCTTCCACTGAGTATTATTAATTTGGGAGAAGAAAAATATTAATCTTTGTCGGTCCATCACAGTACTATTTATTTATTTATTTATTTATTATGCATGAAGTAATTCTTGGTCTCTGACTATATTGCATGCAGCTCATTGTGATACAGCAATAGCGAGGATTCTGGTAGGAAACAAGTGTGATTTGGAGGAGATAAGAGGAGTGAGTGTGGAACAAGGCAAGTGCCTTGCAGAGCAAGAAGGATTGTTCTTTATAGAGACATCTGCGTTGGACTCTACTAACGTTGTTGCCGCATTTGACATTGTTACGAGGGAGATATACAAGAATGTTTGCAAGAGAGTTGCCTGTTCCCACCATTACAAACCTGATTTGTCTGCCAATCGGGTTAACCTTGCCGCCCTCGCCCTTGCAAATGGAGCTCAACGCAAGACCAAATACTCATGTTGCTCCACGTAGTTTTTCTTTTTCATTTCTGTAGTCATTATTCGAGGGTGTGCACTGAGTAAACCTCAGATTGTTTGTCTGTTTGAATAGATGAAGAGATGGATGGAGAAAGAGTGATGAGTCAAAACAATTACTGGGTAAAAGAATAAATAGTTTATACCATTTTTCTCGCCTAATCAGAACACTATTGTACATGTGTATTCACATTTGAATGCAAAACCTAACCATTTCAATGCGGGCCTAAAAACATGTCAAAATTTTCAAGGCTTTCTCCAAGCAGATCCTGCACCCATTACTACTGCCAACACAAGGCCAAGACCGGCGCCAAGGGATGCTCCAACAGTGGCGGAAGAAAGAGCGTTTTCCTTGGCCTTTGCCTCTCTACTTGCATTTGCAGCGACTGCATGCTCCTTTACCAGTTCTAAGAATAGTCTGTCTTTCGCAAACTCCTTCAGAGGCGATGAAGATGAGGGTTAAGTTTTGACACATCAATTAATATCGAGAGAGAGAGAGAGAGAATAACAATTAATAAAACACGAGGGAGATGATGATGATGTAAATACAGTCTACCTGCAAGGCGGCTTCCTCATAGCTACGGAGCACACGGTGTATAACTTCACGAAGAGTAGATACACCCTCTACTGGGAAAACAGAAGCTTTCTTACGAAAAGGTCTTGTTACGAGTTCAAGTGGAGCGAAGATCAGCTTATGAGCACCTATTATTTCTTTCGGACCTACCCCCTCTGTTTTCCAAGATAGAGGAGCGCCTGATGCACTGGGCAGAACATAGGGACACGAATTGATAACCTCGGTTGTGCTAGGAGACGCTTGATATGCATGAAGAACAGAATCTATAGCTGCCTTTTGCTGATGTGCGCTAACAGAAAATTTGTTTGTAATAGCAAGCACCCAAGGAATTCCAAGAGATTTAGCCTCGTCCAAGAGAAGCGATAGAGCTGGTTTCGGCTGTGTTGCAGTTGATTCACTGTATCTAGGTATTCGGTGAGACAAGTTATGAACAAGAACAATCAAATCAGTTTTCTTACTAAGATCACGAATTCCTGTCCACAGTTCATCCCTGAAATGAGATGCCTCCATTTTCAAATTCTGGAAAAAAAAAACACAAAACAAAACAAAACAAATCAATTCCTCAAACCATAAGCTCTTTGCAATTTGAGTAAAGAGAAGATATAGCTCAAACTATTTTCAGTTATTCACCGACATGCATAAGAGAAAAATAATCTCTCCATGGAAATTACAAAATTAATTTAAAGCAATGGAGCATGTATGGAAGGCAATGGAATACAGCTGAAGCAAATTACTTGACTCTAATAGAAACCTCAAGTTAAGCTATAGTATAGCATAATAATATAGGAAAGACACACATCAGAAATACCTTTCAAAAAGAAAAACTGTAATGAAAAGTGGCAAGAAAAAGAAAATAAAGAATGGGAGAATAGAAAGAAAAACACCTGCAAATTAACCCCAGCTGAATCTGTGTAGCACAAGCCACCAACAATACCTTCTTGAACATCAGCATCCAAATGCAGATTCTTCTCAGCACAGTCACTGAAAGTGCTTCTTCCTTGATCCAAAATTGCCTTTAGTAGAGAAGTTTTACCAGCACCCTACACAATGCACAAGCATTAGTTATTGCCATTAATTTTCATTAGCATATAGAAGTTAATCAGGAAGCAGTACCTCTAGGCCAATTAATCGCACTCTGCGGGTTCTGATGTCAACCTCTCTTGAGACAGTAGTAAAATCTGTCGTACAAAAAATGGCAAGATCTAACCCATCTTTACGTAAAAAATTTCCCTCACTAGATGATGTTACATCCTGCTTTGTTTGCAGATCAATGTGGGTAGAATTAATAGGAGAGTACATTGGCAGTAACACATCATCACCCATGTGATGCTTTGGTGGCCTTCTCAATGGAGCTCCAACTGAAATTTGCATGTGCTGTATTTCTGGAAGCTCTCCTCCATGATTTGCAGAGTAAACTGGCTGTGAAGGAAAAGAATCCACTGTTGTTGAACACCTGAATTTAAGTTTCAAGAATAAGGGTATCAAATAACTATACAACATTATGACAATTTGGTAGCAGATTTTGTTCTTGTTGACAAGAAGCACAATAACAGGTTTCCCACCTCTTTACTAATAATGCACAATAACAAAAGTATAAATCAGTAAAGGCAATCTCCAGTAATAAATAATAAAGCCATGTAGCCATAGAAAAAAGTTGGCACCATTAACACCCAAATTGTTGTTTCTTGCTCTTAGGTCTGGTGGATAAATATGGACTTGGTTTCTTAAGTAGAGCATATTGTTCACCGAGGACAAAGCAGGTTTGTGTTTGACACTTCAGTACTAAAAATACATACCAACTGTTATGTATTCAAAACAGGATGAAAGTCATACCAGCGACCATTAACCCGAGCTTGGATAAGTGTACACAAATGTAATCCAAAACCAGAAATGTCAACTTTCAAAGAGTCTGAGTTCTTTTCACCAGGAACCCCGCTCCAACCAAGAGGAACTATTGAGGTAGCAGCCCGAATAATGGGAGACTCTACAATATGTCCAAGTTCAACAGCACCTCCAACAACCGAAATACCTAACCATTTTTGCAGCTGTGGAAATTGTTTCTTCCCTTGTTCCATCCCCAGAAAAGTGGAAGTGTCATCACTCATACAGAGTTCATAAATTCTGTAAGAGAAGCAGAATCCACAATCATTCACAGCAACATGATCAAGCTCAGTGTCACATTGGTAAAACCAGTTCCAACTATATTAAGAAATCATAGGCATAACAAATAAAGGATGAGAGAAAAAGAGCTTAGTGTAAGTAGTACAATAACCTTTGAAACCGTGCCCTGTATGAACTCATTGAATGTGACTGAAACCGTTCCCTTACTTCAGCAATCACAGATCTGACCTGAAAAAGTCTTTTCCATAAGAAAGCAAGCAAAATGAGAGAATTTCTGTCAAACTCCTCTTTTTTACTTAATTCATTTATTTACAGGCTGAGGAAGATGATACAAGGATCCTAAACAAAATATGAGAAACTGAGGTAAAAAATAGTCAGCAAATAGAATTCATACCGATGTCAATTTTGAATATTCTGCACTAGATAGAAACTCTATAGATGAATTCCCCAGAAGAAAAAGCTGCCACAAACGATGTAGTTAATAAAAAATTTCACATACTAAAGTACATTTAACAAAACCATAAGCTCAATATCACCTGACTGACAAAGTAGCAAACATACAAACTCTTACTGACAACTAAAACAGAAATGACCATACTGGTGTCTCACCTTAAAAACTATGAAACAAGGAAAATAAATGAAACCAACCAAAATCTAGGACACTCTCTTTCTAAGATAAAAAGTAACACAAGTAAAGATATTTTTAAAAAGCTTGATTAAGCTCTAAGGCATAATATAAGAGGAAGAAAAAAGGAAAGGAATTTAAACAGGAGATTTACTTCTTCTTTTTGTTTTCATCAGCAATGATTTGGGCAAGCAAACATGCTATAAACCTGCCTTACATCCACATTTCTAAATGTTATCACTTGAAACTCCATTCTGATAATGTTAATGACCACTTATAAAGTGAAAACAACCACAGCTCATGGAGGAAGCAAGGGAAATATATCAACCTGACCAAAAGGTACATATGAAGGTAATGAAGGAATCATTCTGCGTGCCCCCTTGTCTCCATTACTGGCAGATGATTTTCCATTCTTCAGTTCACCAGAAGTATCTTCATTTGTCTGAGGCAATGGTCGAAGAGTAATGCCATCAGAACCCTCCTGAATTTCAAGAGACTGTGGGGCAGTAGTTATATCATTAACTGAGGACAGTAATGATGAACCACTGCTGGCAGATGACGCAATAGGTTCAGCTTTCTTTCCTGTATATCTATAAAGCCGGTTTCTAACACCCTCCAAAGGCACAAGCCTAGACAGTCTCCAAAATGGGTTCTGAACTGGACCTACACCCAACACCAGCTGCTCTCCTTCATTCTCTTTGCCCTTTTCAGACTTCTGCTTATTCACCCCTCTTGGTTTTGAAAAGGATGCTGAACCACCAACATCAGCTGGAGTAGGTACAGACTGAGCATTATAGTGGTGAAAATATGCAGGAGACAATATACGAGGCACCAAATCTTCTGGAATACAATAGGTTTTGAAGTAATTCTGCCACCCTTTACTATTCACATAACTGAAGAAGAAAATTTAGGAAACTAGTTAACAACTACACGATTAAAATCACTAAAAGAAAAAGGAGGTCAGATAAAGCATACTCTTTTAAGGCAGCATTTCCAACTGGTGGCTGGGAGAATGTGACACATTTCACCTGAACTTTTTCATGTTCTTTTGATGAAGCAGCGACAACCCTTAAAATGGCAAGAGTTGCTAAGACTGCAACCTGAAAAGTAAAGCCAGATAATTCCTTTCAGTACAGTGAAGTGCATGTACAATCAAGCATACAGAGTATTAAACATTAAAACCAAAAAAAAAAAAAAGAAGAAGAAGAAAGATAACTAGTAAATCAGTGGGCAAAACAAACTTACTGATCCACCAAGTGCGTTAAATATAGGAAAGTAATCTTAGGGTCAATGTTGTAAAAATCGCTAGGCGCCCTCTAGGCGCCTAGGAGGTCCACCGCCTAGCGCCTAGGTGCCGATGCGCAATTTTTGCAACAGTGCTTAGGGTTATAGTATTTGGCTTTAGCCCAAATTGTATCTTGCATATATAAATATAGGATCTTCTCAACATATTTTTACAGTATATAGAGAAATACAATTAAATCTTTCCAATTTCAATCTTTCACACGGTATCAATCTATTGGAGCAAATATTTCTTTATGAAAAAATTGCAGTTTTGGTCCCTCAGTTATGCATGACTAGTTATTTTAGTCATTCACTTTAGTAAAAATAGTTGTAAATGCGAAGGCTGAAACCACATGAAGGTCAATGCCAAATTGTTAATTGTTGCCAGTTGCCTTATTTTCCCTTTAAAAAAATAATAATAATCTCCGCTCTCAATTCAATTAGCTTTGAATTATTTGGAGTTTGGACAGTAAGCAGAATGAATGGTTGCTCTCCCTACCCATGCTTGTATTGGCTAGGCACTAGCCACTAGTAGAGGAGACAATTAATGTGAATAACCTGCTTCACCCCCAAATCCTAAACTTTAACTCTCCACCTTCAACCCAAATAGAAACCAGTATAACTTGGTCAAGCAATAGGCTAGATTTCATAGTTAGGGTTCATGGGAGTCGTAGTCTTCAAAATTTGGGGATTTTCTGTTTCCAATATGATAACAAAGGGAGGGAAGATGACCCAAATACTGATTTACACTTTTACCCTCATGTGACTTCCATTAACTACTTAGATAACGGGCGTTGGATGATTTCTGTTAGGGTAAAGGAACAAAATTACCAACACTTGTCATAATTGGGGACTATTTTTACAGAAATGGACAATTAAAGAACTAAAATAACTAGTCACACACAACCGAAGGACCAAAATTGCAATTTTCCCATTTGTTTATAAAGATAAAGGTCACACTCAAATTGTTGGATATGATGTTAACTAGGCAAGTTGTCCATTCAACAAGCAATCAACCTTTGGGTGTTGTGTTTTTCTTGTCGGCAACCCAGTATCCTAGAAGAGTAAGAACTAAGAAGTAAGATGTGGCTGTCAAATCATGTGCTAAAGCCAAGTACCTTTCTATGGCCTAGCCGCTTCTAAACTTTTGTGGTGAAGCACTTACTTCAAGAGTTACGATATGGTGATGTTGCACAAATGAACTTGGTATGTCATAATCAAGCCACAATGCACATTACATTGAATTGATAATAAAATGAGAGGGCCAAGAATGTAGAATTTGATAGTCATTTCAATAAGGAGGAGACCATATTTGGTTGGAGTTTATTTCAATTTTGGTCACTCGGCTATAGTGGCATTTTTGTTTGGGGGTTCTATTTTAAATGCCCTTAATTTTTGAAAATTTCATGAATATCATTTATTCATTTTATTGCAAGATGACACAAAATATCTTAGAGTGATTTTATTTTTTAAATGGACTAAAAGTGAAAAAAAAAAAAAAACAAAAAAAACAAAGTCGATGACTAAAAGTGGAAATGACACTATAGTCAAGTGACTAAAAGTGGAATAAACCTTTTGGCTGCAAGATTCCTCAGCATTGCTGATCAACTAGTAAATATTCTTACCAAGTCTCTTAGAGGACCTAGAAACAAGGCAAATTTGTACAAGCTTGGTGCATAGATCTATATGCTCCAACTTGTTGAATATAGAAAAGTAATCCTGCGGTGATAGTATTGGGCTTAGCCCAAACACAATCTTGACATCTTGTCGCCTTGTGCATATAAATATAAGATCTTCAGTTTATATTTTTATATAGAAATACAATTAAATCTTCCTATTTTTATAGTACTGCTTTTAGCATGGTGAAGTGCATGTAAAAGTGAGCATATACAGTATTAAACATTTAAAAAACCAAAAAACAAAAAATAAAAAATAAACAAAACAAAACAAAAGAAAAGATGAACATAACTAACAAGTGAACAGGGAAAACCAACTTACTGCTCCACCAAGTGAATGCCCACATAACACAAGCTTCCGTTTCTTTTTTTGGGCAAGCCTGTACAACTCCAATGCAGGTATTCCTTTAGCACGAGCCATGAATCCCTATTATTAGGAAAACAAATATATAAAACACACAGCACCCTATAAAAGCATCACAAAACATATATGAGATCAATCCTATCCAACATTAACATAAAGGGGAAGCTTTAATACCCTGTGAACTGCTGGTTTTGGCATTGTTTTTGTTGGATTAGGCATCAAGTCCGTAGTTTTCGAGAAATTCTCAACATTGTCCTTCTGAATGTCCACTTGTGTGGATTCAATCTCATTAAGGTCTTCTGCGGGATCTTCATGAAATATGGCACCTTGAAATATATTCACATCAGCCATGACATCCCTTTATAAATGGAAAAAGGGAGAAACAAACGAAATACAGTGAAAATTCTATATTGGAATGACAACCAAAAAATTTTGAAAACATGATAAGAGTAATACTGACTTGTACTGTTTTGTCCCAATGAAAGAAGCAAACAATGTGTCACCCGCTTCAGCTAGTAAATACCTATAAAGTAAAATGAAAAGTGTCTGTCACTCTGGTGTATGAGGATGTGCGATGTGAATGTTAAACACAACATCCAAAACTTGAAACATAAATACGGAAGAATAGAGCCCAAAATTCAACATCAGTACAATAAAGATGGTGATATATCAAAGCACCTGTGTGGAACATGATCTGAAGAGGGTTGAACACGTTCTATGGAGATAACATTTTCTCCAAAGTCAGCCTTAAACTTGTTCACTGCTCGTATCACTTCAGTAGCAGGTTTCTGAAATTATTACATAAATGTCACACTTTCCATAGATACAATGATTATGGCTAGGTTCAATACAAAATTATTTTTCCTTGCTTGCTCATGGTACTGATTATTATAGAAAATCATCATAATTAGCTATATTTTGTTTTGTTCACAATATAATACTCAGAAAACTCAACAATATCGAAATTAGACACATTAGGAACACTGAACACTGTATTTTGCAAGGATTCCTAGAGGTCTCTAAGATTGAATTACCAGAGAGCAGGCATTGCACTTAAAATAGCATTGAACTTGCGCGAAATTTAAATTGATAGAATTATAGAAACAATAACCTTGTAAACACACTCGGAGAGCACCATGCAGCAAAGGATGTCCTGCAAATCGGGTACCGATTCGGCTTTAACGGCGTAGCAGAGATCCTTGAGCTGCTTCTTCCTCCGCTCATACTCCTCCTGAATTCGCTTCCTCTGTACCTTGCCGTCGCCCCAAGGCCACTTAACCACCATTCGCCACTGCAGTGGCTGCCGCGTGAGGCTCAGGATCCTGGCACTCTGGTCTTTGATCCATGTCTCTACTCGCCGAGGCAAAGCCTCCATCATTCCCCCATATACACCTGGGAAATCAAAGTCCTACTCCCGTCGGCCGCCGTGCAGAAGTGGAGAGGAAAAGATCTGAAGCTTTTTGTGGACGCTTTTGCGTTTAAGAAATATCGGACGGCGAATCAGAATGCTATCGGCAGAGCATATGCCGAAAACTTACACCCTGGTAGCCTGACGTACACTCTTCAAACTTTTATATCCTTTTTGTTTTTCCTAATAAGTTCCAACCCCCAACGCTTTTTTATTTCTTTTTTTGTTTTTCATAATGGTTTTAACTTTTAATAATAATAATAATAATAATAATGACAAATATTTCATAATACTCTATGTGGCAAGATTGTTATGGCACCATGTCATTGTTTGAAAAAATAAAAAATATTGCCAAAAAGTAATATATTTTTTTCATGTCGTAGTTTGTTTGGATTTTATATTCTACTTTGAGATTGTTTTGTTATCACTGATCAATTAAAAAAAAGTGTTACTTCATTAAATCAAAGCTATGAAATAGAAGGGCAAAGGAAAAAAAAAAAAAAAAAAACCATATTTGTTCACAAGTTCATCAAATTTAATAGTTTGAAGTTGATTTTTATGAATTATTTATTTACTTGATAATTTCTAGATAATTTGAAATGTTACTTGATAAGTCAAATATATGCCTAAAGTTTGTATAAGTATTCATATGGCACTCATAATGAGTATCCAGTTCGATTTGTCTTTTTGATCAGTATGCTAATATGATCTGATTTGTGGTGTCTAGTTATAATATAATGATAGTTGAGTGTCTCCAAAATCTCCCCCATCGCAATAGGAATTAATGTGCCTTATATAGGCAAAATATGGTGGCACATATCGAGCTTTCGACATGTGTCTCCATGTGTATGTATGGGTTCAATGGGCACGATGATCATGTCAAGTGTCTTTAACGATGATGATAGTTTGATAAGACGTGATCTAACCGCATGATATGCTCGGCAAGTAGCTGGGGCCAGCGGCTAATAATAGAGGTCTTGAATCTATACAAGTACAAATTTAAAATGTGTAACTAAATTAAATCTGAAATGATTAGTAACTTAAATCTTAAATGGGTAACAAGTAACCAAAACAAAATGTGACTTCGATTAAGGGGTGTTTGGTAAATGACTATTATCTGATAATTGTTAACTGACTGGGTTAGTTAGTTTACTAGTTTATAACATTAGCTGATTGTATAAAAAATGTTTTGTAATTAACTGTTAGCTATTAACTGATTACATACAAAATGATTATCGAAAAAATTACTTTGAGCAGTTTTTTGAATTTTAGTATTTTAAAATAATAAGTTGTTACAAAAAATTAATGAATACAACACTCACATTGATTGTTTAACCAAATCAAACAACTATAGTCATTATATCGTAGACCGCGGTGCACATGCACCGCGGTAAAAAACAACGTCGTTACCGTTAACAGATTCCACATGTTTGGTGTTTTATTAAACACCAACTGACACTACAGTACATCTAAATTGACATTGCCTCATGTATTATTTTTATATTATCAAATGAAACTGTAATTATATCAAAATGATACTGTAGTTGTGGTGAAATGAAACTGCAATGTATATAAAATGAAACTGAATAACATTTCACATATTTGAGTGTATTTTGTGCAATGAAGCTGTAATTATATCAAAATGATCATGTAGTTGTGTTTTAATAAAATTATAGTGTATATAAAATAAAATCAAAGAACATTTTCACATATTTGAGTCTATAAATATCGAATGAAACTGTATTTATATCGAAATGAAACTGTAGTTGTGTTGAACTGAAACTGCAGTGTATACAAAATGAAACTGAATAACATAGTTACTTTTTGCGGAAGGGTGCGGAACGGCGGAAAACAAATATTGTTTCTTTTCATTTAACAAAACGACGTCATTTTAATGCGCGGTGCACAATATAATTTGCCAAACAATTAATAGTGGTTAAATAAGAAGTGATTGATAGACTAACTATTTTACTAAATACATTTAAATTTGAGTTAATACCGTTTGAGGTCCTCCGAGTATAGTAGTTTTGCCACGTTTAGTCCTAAACTTTCAAATTGACCATCTGTGGTCCTTCGACTTTCAAATTTAACCATTTGTGGTCCAAGTTAACCACCCATGGTCCTTCAAGTTTCAAAACATAACCAGTTGTGATTCTCTTGAAAGGACCATGGTTGGTTAAATTTAATAGTTGAAGGACCATGGGTGGTTAACTTGGACCACAAATGGTTAAATTTGAAAGTCGAAGGACCACATATAATTAATTTGAAAGTTTAGGACTAAATGTGGCAAAACCCCTATATTCAGAGAACCGCGGATGGTATTAACTCTTTAAATTTTTAAAAGAGTTGCTTTGGGCTAGTTTACCTTTAAAATGGGCTGGATCTTCTAGAGTAGAAGTAGTTCTTGACTTCTGTCTCTGTCTGGGCCAAGATACTCACTTTCACCTTTTCAGGCTTTTACCTTCCAATTTTCATCAAGAAATTTGAAGCCTTTTTTTTTTTTTTTTTTTTTTTTTTTTTTTTGGGTTTGAAAACTGAAATTTGAAGCTTAATAACCAAAACAAACAATCTTTCTACCGCGAATATTGTAATATCGCATTTTCTTAATTCGTATAATCTCTTGACCGCAAATTATGCTGTCCAACCGAATGCACCTTGCAAGGTGCATTCGGTTGCAAAACGGTACCGTTTTGGTTAAAAAAACGCGTGTTCCACTTAAAGAAGAAATCAGGTTCGATTCCCGGCAATAGCATTTTTATATATCCAGAAATTCATAACTATATAACCACAATTTCATAACTATATATCCACAATTTCATAACTATATATCCACAGTGAATGAATGAAGTAAAAATCCACAATGAATGAATGAATGAATGAAGTAAAAATCCACAATGAATGAATGAATGAAGTAAAAATCCACAATGAATGAACTAAATATCCACAATATATGATTGAACTAAATATCCACAATGAATGAACTAAATATCCATAAATTCATAACTATATATCCACAATTTCATAACTATATATCCACAATTTCATAACTATATATCCACAATAATGCTATTGCTGAGAGTCGAACCTGATTTTTTTTTTTAAGTGGAACGCGTGTTTTTAATCAAAACGACGTCGTTTTGAACCGTATGCACCATGCGCATGGTACATTCGGTTGCACAGCATAACTATTGTCTCTTGACCTCTCGTAAGAGAGATGTCACTACATGTCAAATGAGTACAATGTGCTTGACAATTTTTTAATTAGTTGAAAGAAATGTGAGTTTTTTAACCCTAAAAAATGTGAGTTTTTTTAACATTCATATGAATTACATTACTCTCACATAGAGCATCTTTGGTCGGATGGAACAAGTTTTTCAATAAAAAAAAATTACTAAATTTGAGGAAAATAAAATTTTTTTACGTTTGATTCATGGAAAATTTTTAATTTGTATTTTACTGAGAGATGTGGTGGTATTTTGTTTTCCATGAAAGTTGGGAAGAAATTATCACATGGTTGGATAATTTTTCCATTATTACTTTTATTATAATTATCATTATCATTGGGTAGGAACATTTTAGTCTATGTACTCATTATTCATTACCATTCTAACCGCAACCAAACAACGGAATCAATATCCCTAGTAATTTATTTTTTACAAACAAAACAATGGAATCAATCTTCATTAGTAATTTTGTTTTCATGGAATTTCAATTATATTTCCCCTCGAATATTTTTCACAAACCAAATAGGCCTTAAATTATGTTAGATTTTCAGAAATGTTATTTTACATAGAAATATAGAGCTTTTTGCACTTTTGATCCAACGACTATGGTGTCACTAACAACTTTAATCTACGACTTTTAAAACTTGTAGAATTGGTCAACGATTATGACTTTCTTAGCAAATTTGGTCCTTCCGGTACATTTTTTGTTCAATATTTGCCGAAATTTTTTACTCCATTTTAACATGGGTAATATTGTCTTTTCCATCTCACAAACTAATGACATAAATAAATACGGAGTAAATAATTAAACACACTGATACGATGATTGAAATTAAACGTCACCTAATTCCAATTCCATTTTCAGTTTCACCCTCATCACGCCAAATTTTTTTAGCTGTTTATTTATTTATTAATTCAATCGAGTCGGTGTCGCGCTAATTAAAGGCACCATCCAACTAAGAGGTTGAGATACAAAAGTTGAGCTCGTACGAACTTATCTCACTGGTTTAGTATGAAATATTTGGGAGAAGAGATCAAAGTTCGAACCTCGATAGTGGCCATGTGAGATTTCTTTGTGTGCATCGATATTAGTTCTGAACTTTTGAGTTACCGTGATTTACATCCTTTCAAATTCATTCTCGGATTGGGATGTGGGGGCTTTCACTTTGTGGGTAGGTAGCCAAACCCTCTTAGCAGCCTAATATGGGTACAATCTACGGAGTACTAAAGATTGTCACAGTATCCTCTCTTGATAAACTTAGGCAAAGGAAATAATTTTATTTTAACGGTCCAGTATACGGCTTTGACTCGTTTCCACTCTCTCTTCTCTCTGTGTATCTCAGGTATCACCAACCTCCATTGTTGCATAGCTCGCCCAGCAATGGCGCCGTCGACGCCCTGTTTACCTACCCTAACGCTGGCCTTTTCGGTTCTCGTTTCCGTAATCTCACCGTCGCAGTCGCAGACATGTTCGTCGCAAACCTTTGCTAACAACAAGCTCTTTGCTCACTGTAATGACCTCCCCACCCTCAGCTCCTACCTCCACTGGACCTACAACCCTACCAACGCCACTCTCTCCGTCGCCTTCGTCGCCGCGCCGCCCAAATCCGACGGCTGGATCTCGTGGGCGCTCAATCCGACGGGGACCGGCATGATTGGCGCGCAGTCGCTCATTGCGTTCAAGGGTTCCGGGGGCGGAATGGCGGTCAAGGCCTACAACGTCAGCTCCTACGCTTCCATCAAGGAGTCCGAGGTGTGGTTCCGGGTGGAAGAGGCCACGGCGGAGTCCTCCGGCGGCGTGATGCGGCTTTTCGCGACGGTTGTGTTGCCTGAGAAGAACAAAACCACGATCAACCACGTCTGGCAGGTCGGCTCCTCCGTCACCGCCGGCGTGCCTGACAGGCATGCTCTCCAGCCCGTCAATTTGAACTCCAAGGGAACTATAGATTTGTTGAAAGGAGTGAGCAACACTGGTTCATCTGGTGATTCCAGGCTCACGAAGAAGAATGTGAGTTTCCACAGCCTCTTTTCCTTTTTCTTCATAGCACTGTATTTGGTTTTACTATTTTAGAAATTTAGAAATGTTTTCCTCTATATAGTTGACTATCTAGTATAAATATTTCTTACTTATACCAGTAATTTTTGTGTTCTAATGATTATTTATAAGTATTTCTAGGGATATACAAATTAAATTTTGGGTTTTAAATTCATGAAATATTAGGATTACTTCATTGTTTGTTTTGAATAGGAAGATTTAGGATGTTTTCTTCTTGAAAGGCTGGGATGCTTTCCTATTTCTGGTTGTGTTATCTTCCTTATTTGATGCCATGGTGGTATCCATGAATCCATCAATATAGTTTGTTCAGTACAGAGTTTAAGAGCTTCATCACAAGAATTTGATCACTGGGAAGTATAGAAAGTTGCAGCTAAACTGGGAATCTGGGATCTACTATAGTACTATGCCTTTGTTCTGGAAATAGTATCAATGTATCATAAGCTCATCACTGATTCACTGATGGAGAGGAGTGTTTCTGTAATTAAAATTTGGAATCAATAATAACGGGCAACGTTTGATACAGATTCATGGAATACTTAATGCAGTCAGCTGGGGAGTTCTGTTTCCATTTGGAGTCATAATCGCGAGGTACTTGAGAACATTCCAATCTGCAGATCCAGCGTGGTTTTATCTTCATGTTGCTTGCCAGTTAGCTGCCTATGTGATTGGAGTTGCTGGCTGGGGAACTGGCCTTAAGCTAGGAAGTCAGTCAAAGGGTGTTATGTACAGTGATCATCGCAATATTGGGATTGCACTCTTCAGTCTTGCAACAGTGCAGGTATTTCCCCTGAATTATCTTGTGGATTGTCGATATCTTGCTTAGCTAGAGCTAAAGATTGTCTTTTTTTGTTCTTCCTCCTCCCTTTTCCAATCCTAGATGGCTCTTAAATGTGAACTAATTTGAAATTTATATGTTAACCTTTAAAAGAGTAAAAGACTTCACTGCTGAATTCTATGAATCTATTCCGGTAAGCATACAACAGCACTCTTTTGGAGTGTCAGAGCCAATGAACACTGATTTCAGCAACTTTGAGCCTTTTTTTTTGTGGTCCGTTATGAGTACATTGATCCTTCATCTTTACTGGCTGAATGGGAATACTTTTTCTTTTGTCCACGCTTTTGACACAGATGTTTGCATTACTATTGAGACCCAAGAAGGATCACAAGTACCGATTTTACTGGAATGTCTACCATTATGCAATTGGCTACTCAATACTTGTTCTAGGCATCATCAACGTGTTCAAAGGTCTTGACATACTAAGCCCAGCAAAGAAGTGGAAATCTGCATACATAGTCGTGCTTGTAGTGCTAGGAGTGGTCGCGCTACTACTGGAAGTGGTCACCTGGACTGTGGTGTTGAGGCGGAGATCAAGCAAATCCACCAAACCCTATGACGGGTTTGACAATGGACAAGGCAGTTAACCACCATTGCCCTCGTGATTTATCAGACTCTATTAGCTTGAGAGGTTCTGTCTGTATATCATCTCCGACCATGAAGCTTCATTAGTGTGAATGCCATGGGGGATTTCTCTTGTTTAAGGTTTGCCAGCTTCTCCTTTGTATGTTGTATGCCTCACTTTATACTCACCAAATTAAAACTCACAATTCTATGTTATAATAGTTTATCGTTGCAGTTAAATCATGCCCTTTGCTTGTGCAACCCATGATCCTTTTCATGATTCTCTCTTTGTTTATGTGCACTGCCACTCTGCTAGTCATTCTGCATTTAATTTAACCATAGCTGTGGTCAGTTGTAAACCGATTGCCTCATCTGTGATAATATGTGTTTATTAACCAAAGAAATTTATCACTTTTGCGTCGAACTTGAAACCTTCCTTGACTATGTTTGGCAGAACTTATTTAGGAACTTATAAGCTTATTTTAAGCTACTAATAAGCTATAAGCTCTGTTTGATAATAATGATGCCATCAGGGCATCAGTTACTTGGCTAGTCTAATTTATTTATGATCACTCATGTTACATGAATTGTAGTAAGAATCTTTGATTGCAAGCAATGGAGCCCATTCAATATTCAATTCATTTATTGAAGCATGCTGGCATGCATGGAATGTAATCATGAAGCATTTAAGAGTGATAATAACACATATTATTATCAAAGCTAGCTCCATTATGGAACAAATTACATCATTAAGGAATGGGTAGGATGTGGTCCATTTTACCTTTTGCTTTATTTCCCACTTTCATCATTCTACACTATAGTTTTATTATTCCCATTTCTTGGCTTTGTTAACAGGGTCCTTTGATTTCCCTGGCCCCTTCATCCCCACCTTGTCTTTTCTTGCTTTTTAAGTTTGAAATTTTTACTTCTAAAGTAGTAAATCGCTCTGATCACTCCAATCGCAGTTCATCCAAATGATTTTCAGGCGGTTGATGACTTGCCTTGCCTTATTCTTTCACACATATTTAGTCAAGAGTTAATAAATCTTCATAGAAAGGGAAAGTGGTTATCACCATCATCTTCCACATGTCTTTAATCCCATTGTATCATAGTTAATGTGTCGTACATTTGTCCCTGTGGATTGTGAGACTTTTTGGAGGCTTAAAAAAACCTAACTTATCGGCTGTCCACTTATAATATGCATCCTGCTACACAGATCCGTAATATCAGATGACCTTAGTTAATTGTCCAAGTGTCAAACTATGTCTACCTTAATAATTAAATTAAAGGGTCTGCATCTAACCTCTATTCATGATGCTAAAGAGGGGCCTTCTAAGATCTTGTTAGTATCATGGATGTGGTCACCATGACGTTGGGATGACCAAATCAATTATGTATTATTACATATGAGCCTAAAGATTATAAGTATTGTTGTTATGTTATAATAATAATAAGAAGTGTTAGTCTTATTAAATTTCAAGTATCAATATATTATGTAAAACTTATTCATTTAAAAAAAATTATTTATGTCAAGCATCTTGTACTCAGATGTCTCTGTGACCTCCCATTGAGAGAAGGTCAATCAAACTCCGATGGTGAGGTATTGACTTTTTGGACTGTAACAAATAGAGAAAGTTTAGAACCAATACTACATTGTAATATAATTGATTTTATATCTAATTTCTCATTTTTTATATATGTGGAGTCCAATTATAATTGAGGTTTAAATGAATACACAAATTATATTAAATTCGGAGTATAAAACTTTATTAAGATTTGAATAAAATGAATTATTAAATTATAAAAAACTTCTTCGTAACAACATTAGTAGTTGAAGTACATATACTATTCAAATCGCTACAAATCAATATTTTGAAACCGTTGGGATTAATTTGTAGTGACTCGGATAGAATTTGTATTTCAGCTACTAATGTTATTTACAAAGAAATTTTAAGTAATTTATAATTTATAATTATTTTTTATTTAACTCTTAATGAAGTTGTATTTTTAATATAGTTTGTATGCTCATTTATATATCAATTATAATTAATTTTACCAATTTTATATATAAAATCAACATATGTCTTACCTAAAATCAAAATGACCTAATTTTAGACCCTAGTATACACAATAATTTGCCGGCAATTGGGCAATTTATATCCTGCACCACGGCGTGCGTTGCATTGTGCGCCCAGATGCAAAACGACGTCGTTTCAATTTTTTATTTTTATTTTTGAAATTTCACTACCCAGTATTTGGCAGTTAATTTTTTTTTTTTTAAAAAAAAATCTCATGTTCAAAAATGTACATAATGTTATACTAGAATACACATAATTGTATACATGAATGTACATAATTATATAACAAAATACACATACTCTTTTTTAAAAGATAATACACATAATCTAACTTAATAAACATAAACTTTTAACATAATACACATCAACTCTTAACATAATACACAAAAATTTCTTGATTCGGATGTACATAATTGTATAAAAAGAATGTACATAATTGTATAAAAAATGTACATAATAAAAAATATACATAATTATATAAACAAATATACATAATCATGTTAACTTCTTACCGTGCCACTCAAAACGACGTCGTTTTGGGAGGTGCGAGGCGCACAGTGCAATGTGCGCCGTAGGGCAGGGTATAACGATTGCGGCCATTGTGGCTTGGGTCAATGCCCGACTACTTTGGGTCGGTCCTGGAGTGGGTCAGGTGGCCCAAATTCGGCCCGTATCCCCTTGATGGAGGAATTATGGGCCGTTGGAAAAAAATAGTAAATGGGAAATCATTAATAAATAAAAAAAAATCAAATCCATAGCTAGGCCTAATCCGGAAATCATGGGCTGACTACACGGGCTTATATATCAATCCGGCCCGTCATTTCTTCTGCAACTAAGTGTAGTTTTTAGACTTTCTCCCATATAAAGTGTAGTGCAGAACCCTAGCTCGTCGTGCAGCCTCTTCGCGCTTACAGGGAGCTCTCACCGCTTCAGCTCAGGCAGGTATTATACCTCTCATCTTTAGTCGCCATAGTCGTAGATGCATATTATCATACGTTTACTTCTATTGCGAGGCAGTTTATGCTCATTATATTCTGATTCTGATTCTGATAACGATGGCGTATAAGATTACAATTACTATTCAAATACTGCTCGTTTTGTAAGGAATTTATGCGTGTTTGAATTGTGACGGAAGATTCTTCGTGTATACTTGGAAATGCTCTGAAATTGAGCTTAAGAGCTCATTATACTCTGATAACGATGGCTTATAAGATTACAATTACTGTTCAAATAGTGCTCGTTTTGTTAGGAATTTATGCTTGTTTGAACTGTGACGGAAGATTCTTCGTGTATGCCTGGAAATGCTCTGAAATTGAGCTTAAGAAAAATGAATTTATATAATTTTTGGTGCTTCATACTCTGCTTATTCCTATTCTGGATTTGGTTAGATTCAGATGTGATTTTGCTGGATAAGCATTTGATATGTAGTCTTCATATTTTACAGTAGAAACTATGGCTGTCCCTTTGCTTGACAAAAAGATTGTGAAGAAGCGTGTCAAGAAGTTCAAGAGGCCACAGAGTGACCGATATATTTCTGTAAAGGTATGTGTTATTTGACAATCACTGGCATTTGCTTGCTTGTTTATTTGTTATTTGACCTCCATTGTTTTATAGAGTGGACCAAATCACTGGCATTTGCTTTGTTGTGAGTTGTCATACTTATTTTACTGCACTTGTGTATGTATATATTTGATATGTAAAGTGATGATATGTATAAATGTGAGTGGGAAGAAAATTATTGCAAGGGGTTGTGTGATCCATTGGTTTAGTGATTATTGAACTTTGTTCAATTAACATTTCCACGATTACATTTTATGGATCTAATTTTTTCCACTTCAATATTCTAATTGATAATTTATTCCTATTTATGTGAGAAGAGCCCTCAAACTAGCTAAAAAATGCATTCACACTTCTGCAAAGGACAACTCATTTACAATTTGGAAAGAAAAAAACTATAGCTAGAATGCAGTCACTGAAATGTGTCAATGTAGGAATTGCATGAGTGGTTAACAACAGTCTGGCCTCATTCCTTGGTAATTCTTAAGTGTATCTGATTTCATGTTTGGTTGATTTTTTTGTTTGGGCAGGAAAGCTGGCGGAGGCCTAAGGGTATTGACTCTCGTGTGAGGAGAAAGTTCAAAGGATGCACTCTTATGCCCAATATTGGTTATGGCTCAGACAAGAAGACCCGCCATTATCTTCCCAATGGTTTCAAGAAATTCGTTGTTCATAATGTCCAGGAGTTGGAACTTTTGATGATGCACAACAGGTTTGGATGTTGTTAGTGTCTTTGTTTAATGTTGCTATGTATTTCACGTGCGTTGAGTCTTTGTCTAATGTTTTCTGTTTTCAGGACTTACTGTGCAGAGATTGCGCACAATGTATCCACCAGGAAAAGGAAGGAAATCGTTGAGCGTGCTTCCCAGTTGGATGTTGTTGTGACCAACAAATTGGCTAGGTTACGTAGCCAGGAAGACGAGTGAGCTATCTTTTGTTATAGTTTCAGGCATTCTGGTGATTTATTTACCCAACCAAGTTATATTTGTTTTAGTTTGTATTTCAGAACACTTTGGCCTTACTGTTCACTGTTCATTTTACATTTTTGCTTTATTATGTACTCTGTATCTTTCTGCCAAGCTTTTGCGTACTGGAGTTTTGTTATGGAAAATGATATTTGCATTTAGAGATGTACTGTATATGGCACGAATCTCGCCTAATATGAACACAGGTTGGATGCATACTGTTTAACAAGAGATGAATTGAAAAGAGCAATCTGGTGGTCTGTTTAATTCGGTGTTGTAATTAATGATGTCACATGCATGTTTTAATGTTTACATCTAAAACATGTCTTTTTGTTGGTATTGTTAGTTGGCTGTTGAGGAGCTCATAAGTATTGAGATTGATTGGAGAGGCAATTGATCTAAATCACAACTTTTTTCCAAAACTTGTGGCATCTAACCACATTATTGCTTGCTATTACATACAAAGAATTAAGCTATGTAGATTGTACCTAAAACTCATATAATGATTTTAATAATGAATAATAAAAAATATATCTACAAAATTTGTTAAAATACCAAAAAATGCTCATGTTGGGTGGGATGATTCAAGCCATCAAGCCACACCCCTTTGTTCGTGTTCTTCTTCTCCTCAATACCTTTAACTTTTGAAACGGTGTCGGTTTCTGCAGGATTCGTTTGCTCTACCTTGAATACTCCCTCTACGAATGACTCCACCTCAATTTCCTTATTCCCTTCCGTATCCGCTATTGCTACAGGAATATATGGTGGTCTCGGCATTTGCGTGATCGAGTCCCAATCAACGCCTCTGAAAAATTTGTGGCCCTTGATTTCCTCCGCGGAGATCCTCTGGCGCGGGTCCTTTTCGAGCAGCTTCCCGATTAGGTCTCTCAACGCCGTCGGCTCTCCGACGAGGTCCGGCGGCTTAGATATTATCCGGTAAAATGTTTCCTTACGATTCGAGCCTTTGAACGGCGTTGTTCCGTACAGCATCTCGTATAACATAACGCCTAAGCACCACCAGTCTACCGAGAAATCGTGGCCTTCGCCGATTATGACCTCCGGCGCCACGTATTCTTCGGTTCCGACGAATGAGTTTGTCTTCTCTACTGAGTCAGATCTGGAAATAGTACGCTGAACGGCTGGATGGACCAAGTCCTCCGGCGAAATTCCAGAGTTACAGAACATGTAGAATGAAGGAAACTTCTTCGTGTTCTTAGGCTTCGGACGTGATTGATTGCGTGATTCTGGACGTTGATGATGAATTTCTGGAGATTTTGGGGAAAGTTTTGTGGAGAGATCAAAATCGATCAGCATTAGGTGTCCGTTCTCTTGAATCATCACATTTTCTGGCTTCAAATCTCTATAAACTATCCCTAGTCCGTGAAGATACTCTAATGCAAGCACCAATTCCGCAGCGTAAAATCTGAAAAGTTACATCAATTCAAATTATTCCAATGCATGCAGATCATGAGTGAAGATAAATTGTGTTGTGGAAAAAACTTACCGGATAATGTCATCAGAGAACATTTTCTCCGTTTGTTTCTTTCTGAGCGCATTGAGATCGCCTCCGGCGCAGTAATCAATGATATAACCAACAATCTTCTCCGTGGAAACGACTCCGCGGAGTTTAGGCAAAAGCGGATGCTGAAACGACCTCAAAACGTCTCGTTCGAACCAAATTCTCTTGTACTCACTTCCATCGTTGCCAGCCTTCTTCTTCTCGACGGAAGCTCGCGAAATGGCTTTGAGAGCTAGCAATTCCCCGCCTTGTGTCTGAACTAAGAACACGACGCCCTTGGCGCCGCGTCCGAGGGCGGAGATTACCTTGAGATCCCGCAGATGGAGAGAAGGCAGCGGCGGTTGTTCGCGGAGCTCTACGTCGTCTTTCATGGCCGAGAGCAATGATAGATGCGCTGGCAACCAGCTGGACCGAATAGACGGCTTGTGGTTGCGTTGCCAGCACAGATTCCGGTGGGAAAGCGAAAAGGTTCCGCCTCTGGAATAGAGAGCTTTGTTGGGAAGAGAGTAATTGAAGTTTGGAATATGGTATAGTGGCAAAAAATATGATCGCTTTCCATAATTTATAGCGCTATGCGATTTGGTTACGGGCTGGAAAGTGGAAATTTTCTCGCAAGTTCCCCGTTACTTGCGGAACAAGTATGACGCGTAGTGACTCTAGTCTCTTTATTTTTATTTTTTTTTAATAACTCATTTTAAAAAAAAAAAAAAATTATATCCTAGTTTTTATATACCTGCCTCTATGCTTATAAATAGATAAATCGAACCAATTTAATATCAAATCGTATACTTTTGCACACAATAAATTTAACACACTCAAATTTCAATGTTCATGGTAAGAATCAAACTTCCACCAAGTCATTTAAAACATGTCTTAAGTGACTCTAGTATGAGTCTCTTTACTTGTCTATAACCGAGTATTTATTTATTGTTTTTTTTTTCTCTCTTAAATTATTCTCCAACGCCATGTTTTAGTAGTAGCTATAAGTAATGATTATTGATTTTTATTTTACTAATTTTTAAATTTATTATCAATGTGAAACATAGACTTTGCCTTTTGAAGGTAAGGTTCAATAGTTTATATATTTGTGTTTTGACCACTACATTGTGAGATGAATGGCTATTTAGGGGAAGAAGGTAATGGATGTGGAATTTCATTGTTAGTTTTAGTTAAAAAATGAATTTAATTTTCTATTAAGATAATAAATATTAATCAATACTTTAAACTAAGAGTAAAATTAAAAAAAAAAATCAAATTTAAAAATTCAAAGTCAATCACTATAAAAAGGTCAATATAAGCACGAAATCAATAATAGAATAATTTATTTCCTTTAGTTAAATTGCTTGACTGTGCTATTATATTATCTACCAAAATCTTATGAACCATAATTTAAAATTGAATAAAATTATTCTTCCAAGCGGTGCTCCCAAAATAATTATAAATTGAATAAAATTATTGTTTCTAGAAAGGATGGGCAAACGAAGAGTTGATGCTTGACTTGAGAACGGAAGTCGGGTTAAGTCATCTAGAAGGATATGATGGATGGACGAGAGACTACAAAACGTGTACCTCACGCCTATTTGACGGCATGGGTTTCGCCGTTTCAATCCGTGGACAATGTCAATCTTCTTGACTTTTAAATTCCTTAAAAGTCAAAATTAATACAACAGAAGAATGCTCTTGCACAGATTTACTCCGACAATGCCGTTAACATACACGGCGGCATACCATGTTAACGGACTCCTATAATGGAAATAAAAATTTCGTTGTGTATGATCCTATAATGGAAATAAAGGTTTTAAAAACATAAAACTTAAAAGGGAAAAAAAATAATAAGGTAATTGATCCTAATATAATAGCATCCAAAGCATCAATATGAACCAAACAAAAAGTCTAAAAGTACTAATACAAACTTAAAAAATTCGATTACCAATAAGATGGAATGATACCTATAATCTATATAAAAAGCCTCATATACATTAATCTCATCGCTTTTGTCACTCTAAAATGCTATTATTTCAAAATCATTGCTCTCCCAAATGACCTTAGTCAAATATTTGATTGCAAAAAGAAAATGATATTTATATTTAATTATTATTAATTTTTATGCATTTATTTAAAACGTAATATTACTATAACAATAATAATTTTAAATTTATCATATATTTTTGTGACAATATCATAAATATATTTTATGTTTGGTAATTTTTTTTTTTTTATCTTTTGACAAAATATATTGTACAACCTCATAGGTATATTATGCAATTATAATGTAATTTTTATGTTTGATAATTTTAATTAATTCAACAATGTAAACATAAATTATTAGGGTTGATCTTAAGGTGAGTGATCAAATATGAATAGATCAAACAACAAAGGAATGAACTATCTTGTAGTCATTTGGGATGAGCCAAAAGTAAAGTATAGTAGTATCATAGTGTCATTGTGTCAATGTTGTGTTTATAAATAAATTGAGAATCTATAAGTTATTAAGGTGCTAATTGCAGGTAAAAAGTATATAATAATTCATTACTCTCATTACTAATTGCAAATATCTAACTTCAAAGTTTGAAGATGTGACTTTCACGCATGTACTAAGGGAAGGTCATAGATGCGTCGATTTTTTTTTTTTGCAAATCTTGATCAAATTAAATACTGGGGGTGCAATGGTCTTAGAGGATCCACTTGAGGACATGTTAAGATTCTTTTATGTCGATGTCGGCGGGCTAAGTTCGACAGGACTAGTTAATGCCTGTCTCAAAAAATCTGAAATTTGTACGACAATGAATAGGTAGAGTTTAAGTGTCTTATTCAACCCAATTCAATTTGTTCCACTTCATTTTGAGTCCGACTCATTCTATATATCAAATAACTTAAAATAATACTCATAATAATCACTCAAACAACATTTAATTATATATGTTTAGTTTGATGATAATCCATCTTTCACTTTAGTTTTGTTATATGCTCAAAGACTCAATAATAATAATAGTTCATTTTTTCGTTTTCTAAATTTGGTTCAAGGAGATTTGATTCTGACAAGAAAATTAAAATTAATAATGTAACATGATCAAATAAAAATGGTGGAAATTGTGAAAGTGTTATCGGAACTAGCTTTTCGATAGTGTTTTGTCATTTTGCGGAAAGAACTGCAGTGGAAGACTCGCACAAGGAAAGTGGGAAAAACTTGGTTGATTTTCCACGAAATTATGGAATCAACCACTTAATCGACCAATAGAAAACGCGATGGAATAGTTTTCAGGATTTCAGACTTGGATTATACTTTCCTAGGTTTGATTGCATTTTCAGAGGTCTTGCGAGGAAGAGATACGTCAAACGTGCAGGGTTTGCAGAGGGAAAGGGAGAGAGGAGATGTCGCCGACCATCGCCGCCGCCGCAGAACAGGCGGAACAGCTGAAGGAGAACGGAAACCACTGCTTCCAGAGAAACAAATTCAGCGCCGCTATCGATTTCTATACCGAGGTATTCATCTCACTGATTTTTCACTCTCGCTTTGTTTTTGTCTGAAATAATATTGCACGATATTTTATATGATTTTTTTTTTTTTTATTATTCCAGGCCATTACGCTGTGCCCTAATGTTCCGGTGTACTGGACAAATCGTGCTTTGTGCCATCGCCGGCGGAAGTATGTATGAACTGTGAAGTTACGGGCTCTACTGCTTTGTGTTTTGTGTATATTTTTTTTTTCTTAGGTCATGTGTTTTTGCCTCTGTGACAGTGACTGGTTAAGACTGGAGGAGGACTGTAGAAGAGCAATTCAGCTTGATCATAATTCTGTTAAGGTGTGTGGAGCAGTATATTCTCTGGTTGTGGCACAAACTGTAGCTTGGAATTACACTGCTTTAGCCCATTAGAAATGGCTAGAATGCCTGCCATTTTATACCATAAATTATTTCCTGGAGTAACCATTACACTGTATTCTAACAGAAAAAAAAAAAAAAAAAAAACCATTAAGTTACTAAGATGGAAGATTTCTACAAAATCATGCCTTCCTTGCAACCCCAAAACTACTGGTAGTTAACATATCTTAAATTGAAAGAGGCAGGGATTTAAAAAAATGAAGTGACAGAGCACTGGCTTGAAATTCCTTGCTGCTGTTCTCACCATTTTCATAAACACAATGATGAAAATGACCAAGTGACTTTTTGCAATTGTTAAATGCCGGAGTAATAATTAGGAATGGGTTAAAATATATGATAAGAGGGAGTTCATTTCATTATTTAGCCTGTTGAATAATTTGTAAGTCAACTTTAAGGATGTCTGTTGGAATTAGCATGCAATAGAGGAAAGAGATGATCAATCCAAAGGGCAATTGATTTTTTCCACTTCTTGAAATGAGTAGATGAATTGGGGAGAACAGAAGTTTTTATAAACCTTTTATTTGGAATATTGGAATGCAATCAAGGATTATACCACAGAGGTGCAAGTTGCAGAAAAAGAGCTTATGGGTCTTGAAAATCTATTTTGAGTTTATTTACATAAGTTTTTTTTTTTTTTTTTGGAGCTTTTCACAAAACTCTAGAAAATAGCTTTTTATAAGCCAGTTGAAATGACAAACTCATATATGCTATTTTGTGTTTATTGAAAGCACTTATTTTAGCTGTTTATTCTAACTGGGCCTTAGTGTTCTACATCTTTACTTGTTATGGAATCTTCCCCCCACCCCCCTTCTGGATGAAAAATGGTCTTTCTTCTGATGCGACGAATGCTGCTTTTTTTGAACAACAGGCACATTATATGCTAGGTCTTGCTTTGCTACAGAAAAAAGACTATTCTGAAGGAGTCAGAGAATTGGAAAAAGTATTGGATGTGCTCCCTTCTTTCACAAGATAATAAATATATTTGAGTTTTGATGTTAATGCTTGTCATGTTCTCAAACATAGATGTAAACACACACACACACATTTCAAATGCATGTGGAGTTGCTGACTCTAAGATGGTGTTCATTCACATTGGAATTAGAATTCCAACTAAGCAGTCATCAGAAATCATCCAGAGATAATATACTGAATACTGACTACTGAATCAAATAGTTTCTACGTGCTACTTTTCTTGGTACTTGGGTTTAAGCTAAGCATATACAATGAGCTACTCACTCTATTTGTTTTATTAAAACATTACATGGCATGTCTTCAACGTTTCTTTTTTGAAATTCATCTTTATATATATTTGATATATATTAATGTAATGATTTGTGAAGATTATCCTAGAATTATCCCTCTTAGAAAATGATGGTTAACTAGTGAAAGATAGAATTAGATAACCAATTTTTACAATTGCAGCAATTGTACGTTTCGCATTTGCTGAAATACCATACACAATGTGTACTGTTTCTTCTCTGGAAGATGTAGTTGAGTTCAATTTGAAATCTATGTTTTTTATGTTAATTCTCAAGTTATGTCCACCATTCTAGTAGATTTATCTTCATTTCTCGGTCTTAATGCTATAATATAACTATTGTGTGAATTGGCAGTTCTTGTGATTGCTTAGATATATGAGAGCAATAAGAACACTACTTTTGGTGATCCAGTTTTCCCTTGTGAGAAGGATGTATAATATATTTTATAGAAGTAGGAAAATTTTATTACCTGGATTTGGATGCCACATGCCTCTATCATTATTTTGCAGTTGGAAGTGTTCTGCTATGATGGTCCGCATTTTCCTCTTTATTGTATGGAACTGAGTTTAACATAACTTTGATTTTGGGCATTAAAAAAACTGACTTGAGAAAATGAAAGGAATGAAAGACATGGAAGCTACTTAGTAACAAGGCTAATTATTATAGTAGAGAAAATGGTGTTAGTTTGGGAAGGTTACTTGGGGTTAAGCTGCATAATTGGTCTATGTATCTTTGGCTTTGGCATGTACTTATAAACTTTTTAGCAGACAAAACATGTGGACAAGTACTTAATTAGTAACGTAGCTAATTATAGGAAAAAAGTAATGTTAGCTGAAGTTTGCTTCTTGCTAAACAATGTCCAGATGCAGCATCTCATGTATGCATTTGACTTAGGCCATTGATTGATATAGGCATTGGATCTTGGTAGAGGTGCTGATCCTAAGAGTTACATGATAGAGGAGATCTGGCAAGAGCTGGGAAATGCAAAATACTTGGAGTGGGAACATGAATCTACCTCGCGTTCCTGGAAACAGCAGAATTTGAAGTAATTTTTAATATTTTTCTGATTTCAACTTTTTATGTTTTTGATCCACCTATTGTTTGTTTTGATGGTTACATTGGTTAATTCTTGATTATCTTCCTCTGTGTGCCACAGAGAATCTTGTGAGACAGCTTTTAAGAAGAAATATTTACTTGATAGCTCAGAGGCAGAAGGATCTTCAGATGAAAAGATTAATCACCTTGCAGAACAACTTGAAGCTTTAAATTTAGTGTTTAAGAAAGCTGCAGAAGATGATACACCAACTGAGGTGATTATTTTAGTTTACTGTTCTTTTTGGTTTTTTCCTTTCATAAGGAAGTATGTTGTGTATATGTTTTGACACTTGGCAGAGGATTTCCAGGTTCCTGATTACTTGTGTTGCAAGATTACACTAGATATCTTCCGTGATCCTGTCATTACTCCTAGTGGCGTTACCTATGAGAGGGCAGTGATCCTTAACCATTTGCAGAAGGTAATCTTTAATCAGCGCCACCCTAGATTTTCCGAATATATTTTTCTCTGTAATAAGTCTAATAATTTATTTTTTATGCATTGATCGTCCACTTTTGTGACAAGTTAGGTGGGCAACTTTGATCCAATTACTCGAGAACCACTCAACACATGTCAGTTGATACCCAATTTGGCCATAAAAGAAGCAGTACAATCATATTTGGCTAAGCATGGATGGGCTTACAGGACGGATTAAAAGTTCTATGTATGACTTGACCTCAGTTTCTTGCATGATGTAGAGGCATGTAAACTCACTGGGTCTCTTCACACTACTTCAATAGAACTTCCTATCGGGTGCTAGTATCGCTTGTAATGTTAGTCAGAGATTTGTACAGCGCTATTATTTTTTTGCGCTATGATTGTGATCAAACTGTGTACAGTTGTATGAAAGATTGTGCAAGGCAGCAACGGCCCTTTTCTTCTAGCTACCAATCGACCAAGTTTGGAAGTTATCGAGGTTCAGCTAAAAACTTTTAACCACAGCTAACTCCTGTCTATTTTTGTCTGTGTGCATTGACTATTAAGGGGGGCTAGCCATCACATTCAAGCTGGACCTTATAGCTCCTACTTCCCATGTCGAAGCTGTTAGCGATGTGCCCATACGGAGCTGCATAGCATGTTAGGTATCTGGAAAGCGACATCTTTTGATTCTCGAATACCATTGTTTACATTTTCATGTGATCGGATTATATGTTGGGTTGCAGGAATAGGCACGCGGCATGCAGAGCCAAAGCGGAACTAACCATGTGTTTGTCAGGTATTCGGAAAGGTTTGCCACACACCTTTGCTTCAAACACTAGTTGTATACTGATTAGCCATCACGTTTTTCTATTATTTGCTTCACACCACAGCCAGCTAATATATGGATTGAGAATGGATAAATCATCCACTATAATAATAGTTGCAGTTTGAGTAGAGATGATGATTCATTCTAAAACACGACAATGGCTGGCCTGTCCGCTTAGCTGCACTTTTTGTCATCAAGCCATAGTAATTAGTAAGTTTGTCTATTTTCTGTGATTTTTTTGAATTATATATAGTTGATTCCCAGCAGCGTGGGACATTGAAGTCTTGTGCTTTGAACCCTTCTCACTTCTTCTACTACTACACATGGTAGACCCTCACTTTGTTGCCCTCATCATCAATCATTTGGGGGATTGACATCATGTTGAAGAATTCTATAATAGACTTCACTCTGAGTAAGAGTCAAACTTTGTGGATGGACTGAGCTGAATTCAAATTAATCTCACAATAATGAAACAACTCTAGACTAGACTTTATAGGATCAATGTCATGTTAAAAAGACTCTAGACTAGACTTTACCCAGAGTAAGAGTCAATTGAGTCAATTGTTTGGAGGATCGACGTCATGCTAAAGAACTCTAGACTAGCTAGCCTCTACCTAGAGTAAGAGTTCAACTCAGTGAACATGACCTAAACTGAATTTAGATTAATCTCTCACCGTAATGAACCACCTACTATATTTCCTCTCCAATCTTCCTTTCCTAACGCAACATTACCTAATTAGACGACGAAATTCTTTTTTAACTAATAGTGGGGTTAGTCAATTTTTTGACACAATGAATAGAAGCTACTACATGAAGGGTTGAAAACCCTTACATACGAATAATTGAGTCAGAATGGCTACACAGCCTACACCCACTACCTTAAGATGACTGTACACACCAAGTCACCAACCCACAACTTGAGTATCCTCATAAATAGGAACCCAATGAAGATAGTTTAGATTAAACCTAATAATTCAAGTAGCAAAGGTTGTAATCCAAAGTGATGTATTGGTTTTTGGCAGGGTCTATAAATTCAATCTAACTTCAATATTGCCATCACATCATCCACAAGAAGAAAAAGGGGAAGATGACACAACATGACAATAATGAAGATGGAAGGGAATCTTGTTTCTTCTTTACAGTTTTATACATCTTCACCCAACACAAGTATGGAACAAAAATGGGTCCAGTACATAAAACCAAAACCCCACTCTTAATAACAATACTTAATTATCTATTTAAATCATGTTTAATTAAACTAAATTAATAAAGTGGGCCCAATGAATACGAAATTATAGCATAAAATTTATCTTTCTAAATGCTTTCGGCTTCTGCCGACAATTAGCCATCCCTTTCTGCTTTCATGCCTCACTTTACTTAATGGTCATTAACGTTGCTATACTCTTTGATTTATGAGAAAGTCATTAATTGCTACTTGAAAGTGTGTTTCTATGACCTTAATCGGTAAAGGGTCACAAGAAAATAAACTAGTTTAGATTGCTTATAGTTGATTTGTTCAGACCTAAACGACCAATAAACTATTGTCCGTCCAACTCAAAATGGGTTACGTCGTTCTACTATATTCTTATCCCTTATGGTATCATTTTTGTCTTCTTTGGTACAGAATTCCATGTCCATTTCACCACCTATTCATGATCCATAACAGATTGATAATGACAGGATAATAGGGCCAGCACCCAACTCGGATCATAAGTGGGTATTTGACCCGGCATCACATGGGAACCCAACGGACAAAACTCCAACGGTTAGAAATTTTAACAGGTGTCACATTTACTGTCATTGAAGTCAGCATTGAAGTCACCATTGATGAGAGAGAATTAAAGGCTTAGGCTCTCCATTTATGTCCCATGTTGTTACCGTTAGGACTCTAGTATAAATGGGGCTCTCCTCAGCTAGCAAAGGGGACGTTCAATACTCGGGACAAAGACACACTGTATTTTCTATACTAAAACACTTAGCAATACAACAAATCCGTTATTCTAATATTATATCTCCGGTAACATATTTACCGTCAGATAGTTTCTCAATTTCTCCCACAACTTCTTCCCTAATTATAATGAAGCCAATCACTTTCTTACCATAAGAATGGAATCCGTGACATTTAAAATCACAAGTCGATGACGCTAAACTGCATCTTCTTAAACCAAAATAGGTTAACTCTAGCTCCCGTGTTACCTCCACCTATGCAAGATTCTTATCTATGGAGTATGGATATGAATAAGAGTATAAGACAGGGGCATTTGATTCATATTATCTCACACAACTTTAAAAATTTAAGTTTGATTTTTACTCCAGAGAAAGCACAACCCAAAGCTCTTTAACATAGCAAACCTATGACCTTATAGTTACATTAATAGTTTGTTTGCCAACTGCCCAAACTACTAGGTTATATCATGTTCCTTTATCTTTCTAGGGAATTTGAAGTCGCTATACCAAAAAGAGATTCTCAACCTTTGTATTAAGTTTATTTTTAGTAATATCCATGAGAATCATATTCCTTATGTGAAATTTATGAAAATGTAACATTACCTAAAAAAAAGTTCAAATTTTAGGGTGCAGGTGGAATCTCACATGTCTTGGAGATGGGCAAGTCTTTGGTGTGTTCAAGAAAACATGATTATTGTGAAAGAGTTGGGACATAGGCAGATCCTAAATAAATGGCAAAGTATTGAATAACTGATCATGATTCTGATGAATAATTAATTAATTAGATACGCATATCGCAAATCATATGCTTCTGCAATATACATATATACTACTATATCCTTTAGAATAAACAAACATATCAAATGACAACTGTTTAAGGATAAATCACATGCATGGAATTCTTCATTCCAAATTCTTGAAGCTTAGAAAATTTTACGGAGTAATTTACAAGTAAACATGTTTTCTGTTGATGATGGTTAATCAGTTTAGATTTTTTTAGGATTTACCTTCTCCATATTCAAAAGAATTGAGAATTTCTCCTATTAGTAAACCTAGCCTCTGCAAGCACAGGTTCGGTCAGACGAAGGGTAGTGACACCACGATTTTAGAAGATCCTCGGGATGAGTTGTTGGAGCTCCTTTAAGCAGATGCGGGAGGAGCCAGGTTCAGAAGAATTAGATGATACCCGCCTTGTGCGGGGCCAACACACCAAAAGAAATAGTAAAATTTACAAGTAAACGTAAACGTATCGTAATAAAATTTACTCCGTACAACATATTATCTATTTTTATCTGTCTATAAAAAATTCTCCTATTAGTAAATCCACGTGCAGGTTCGGGAGGCATAAGAACATGGATCATAGTGGGAGGATGGGATAGGGTTTTTGATGGTTTTACTGTTGTGATGAAGACTTTCTAACCCCCCAAAAAAGGGTGGTTTGGATGCAAAATGGAATGGAAGGACCACAAGAACAGATATAACAAACACCATTCAATATGGGAACAACACCCTATTCTTCACATGTGTGATTTTAATCCATTCATTCATTCAAGCACTCCAAACACTTGACATAGATTGAATGAGTGTGAGGTTTTGGGTCTTTTCTCAGGCCAAAACAAATCACCCTCCTGTGACAATGAACATTAACCACCCTTCTGCCACACAGTCAGAATGACCTACCACCAGTTATATATGTATATATATACACACATATATACATGTATATATATATGTGGACCTGAATATTGTTTAGGATGTAAAACAAAAAGAAGATATCTGTCCTTGTAAGTTTACTCACAACACACAATAATAAACTCTTGCTTGGAGACAAGTAAAGGAATCCCCTTTGCTCCTTTAGTTGAAATTCAAGCAAAACCCACCAAATGTAGGAGGCCATGTGGAGCAATAATTTCACAGGAAGGAAGAATAGACTAACAAACCTATCAGATTGTGTGTGAGTAAATGAAAGAGCCCACTGTAACACAAATCAGGTAATGGAGTGTTGATGTAGAATATCGAAGAAGATAGGATGCTATTATTTATAAAAACTTCTTGATTAACTAGACATAGGGACAATGTAGCATGGTAAACTCGAGATAGAATGTACAGAATGAAGGTCGCAAGCGACCACACAATATGCCTCGATATATAGATATTACGTGGAGTTTAAAAAGGTGTAGAATTTACAGAGATTCTGCTCCTGATGGCTTTGTCATGCGGTGTGGGTAAGGTTGATACCCCTGTTGAGTCTGTCAAGAATGCCGCTTGCCTTCCTCTTGGCTCTTGAAGTGCCATTTCGAGCGAGTTGAGAGATAGTGCGATGCATGTTCTCATCTTCCCTGATTTCCTTCCACTTGGTCCGGTCACTGAAACAGATTGTGTACAGGACAGCGATGCAATTCTCCTTGTTGCGAGCACAAGAGGTCTCCCTTATTAAATTAAGCAAACATGGAACTGCCCCGAGCTCCCCCATTTCCTCAACTGCCCTCTGATTGGTAGAAAGCATTGCAAGGATGGCCAAGAGTTCATCCACATGGACTTTATCGATGATCTTTTTCAGGAGAACACCCACTGCACCATCTCTAACAGCTCTTGCCTTATTTTCATGGAGAATACATAGGTTAAAAATCGCTGAAGCAGCATCTTTCATTGCCAAAGGATGCCCTTCTTCCAAGAGGTCAATGAGCGGTTTCATGGCACCAGATTTCCCAATGAGTGCTTTATTCGAGTCGACAGCTGATAGTGTGAAAAGTGTAGCAGCTGCATTGCTCCTCGTTTCGATTGTTCCTGACCTTAGAGCGCTCATGAGAAGAGGAATAACCATCGGGGTTTCTGCAACGAGCTTCTTATTATTATCATGAATGGAGAGGTTCAAAAGCGTAGTGATTATGTCTTCTTGAAGATCAGGGTGTATATCATTCTGAGACTTGGTTTGAGAGAGGGGGCACAACAGCTGAGGCACCGCCTCCACAGATTCCCCAAATAACGCCCTGAACGAAGGCATTCGTTTCGTTAACAAACGCAACTCTCTTGCAGCACCTTTCTGCTCAGACACCGTCGAAGACATCTTCTCAAGCAAAGAAAGAAAATGATCCCGATCAGCCTCAGTAAGCCCCTCGTCACTCAAATACATAATAGGATCTGGCAACTGAATCCCATTACTCTCACACCACTGCGATATCATATCCCGAATCAAGTGATTAGGCGTGAGCAGAGTATGTGAAAGCACTTGCTGGGTTCTTGGACATGTCCTGTTCCCAGCTTTTAGCCATTTCTGAATGAATGGTCTATCATAGGTCTGCAAACTCATGCCAGTTTCATAAGAATCCAATACAGTCAACAACTGAACATTATTAACAACAAATCTGTAACAAAATGGAGGGAATTACAGTGCACATTCTTTTAATAATGCAGAGATAGGCAATGGAGTAATCTGTCTCTATAAATGACTCTTTTCAATTTTCTTCCATACAGATTGGAAACAGTAAGAGAATGATGAACACATATGAATGCACCAAAGAAGCACAAGGATCATAATAATAAGTGGTTTCTGATGGGAAAGACAGTATTTGTAGATATTCATTTGGATTCAACAATTTGCAGTGTTAACAAAATGTTTCAAATGTCACAATTACAGGAAGCTATGGCACTGTTGGTTGATTTCTAGTTCAGTTAAAGAAATTCAGAAGATCTTGCGTCGCAATCAGAAATACATTATCAGTTATATTTGTTTAAATTTCACCGGAGAAGAGGCGCCGTGGAATGGAATCATAACGAATTTTGGGCGGCGAGGGCGAAAGAAGGGGAAAAGGTAACCGTAACGGGGAAGGGAACTAACCTGACCGGTGGAGACAATAACGGGGTCTCTCATGAGTTCCTTGGAAAGCGGGCACCGGAATTCGTCCGGCGGGGCGGGCATGCCCGCCGGCTCTCTGAAAGATGATCGTTTCGTTTTCAGGTCCTTCAAGGCGCTAAGCGCTTGAAGAGCTCTATCAATGGCGTCCACATTGGAATCCTCCTCGCTGACTATCGCCTTCACCGCCCTCTGCAACTCCTTCCTCAGCTCCGCCGCCCTCGCCGCCGACGCATCCACGCCCTCCACCATTACCTCACTCTTGGCCATGAAACGCATCCACAAATCGAATCTCCCCTCCCAACCCCCCAACTCCAAAGCTAAGAATTCTCACAATGGATTCTCTTCTTTTTTGATTCTCAAGCTGAGCTTTCGATTACTTTTCGTATTCATTATCTCCCTCCCCTTCTCTCTCTCTCTCTCTCTCTCTCTCTCTCTCTCTAGTGTGTGAAGTGCAGTGTGGAATAAGAATGAAAAGAGTAATAGTGTTAGATAGGCGTAGGAGAGGGTGGGGTCCACCGTGGGCGGGTGGTTTCCGGGTACGCCATCACGCCGGACAGCTGGCACCTACGCGGGGGAACTATCCTTCTCTCATATGATGTAGTAAATAACTAAATATTATATAGTGATTTTAGTAAGGGAAATTTCATTTTTCTATAGTTACAATTGAGTATATTTGATTGTATCAAATATTATTAATATATCGAATATTATTGTCACCGATGTGAATCCTCATAATATACAAATCCACATCTTATAGTGGTAAGAATAGGTTATATATTTGTACAAGCTTAACTCACTGGTTCAGCAGTATTTCAGAGAAGAAGAAGAATATGTTATTATCATAATATTGTATATGGGAATAAGCAATATATAGGAGAAGAATAATAGGTTATTACCATTGATGAAATATGGACTAGGAGTAGTCAACCAATCAATTAGTCTGGCATGGGAAGGTAGCCAGACCAGCACTCGGCTCGAGATATGACCAGCTAGTCTTGGCAGCCGTCAGCTTTAGCAGTACGGTGGAAGAATGAATTAAAGTGACAATTAGGACTCACGAGATTAGGAAAGTCAACCTAACTATATAAACTACCTTCCTAAATATTATTTTGGGAAAAAGGTCAAATAGACCCTTGAACTTTACTCAAAGAGTCAATTAGGCCCTTGAACTTTCAGAAGGTGCAATTAAGCCATCAAACATATTATTTTAGAGCAATGAGGCCCAAAAACCGGTTGGTGACCTACAATTACAGGTCAAAAAGATTCCGGCGAACTTCTGGTGAACATCCGACAACATTACAACCAAAAACCGGCGAAACCTTCACCGGCGTCATTTGGCTGCCATCTCCGGCGAAGGAGAAGGCAGACCAACTGCTTTTTTGGTCAGCCTTCTCCTTCGCCGGAGAAGGCAACCAAGGTTGCCTTCCATCTCCGGCAATTAGAGAAGGCAACCAACTGTTTGCCTTCTCCGGCGACTGGAGAAGGCGACGCCTTCTCCCGTGAAGGAGAAGGGTTGGGCTGCCTTCTCCGGCGACTGGAGAAGGCGACCCATCTGGTCGCCTTCTCCAGTTGCCAGAGAAGGCAACCAACTGGTTGCCTTCTGCAGTTGCCAGAGAAGGAAGGCAACCAGCTTGGTTGCCTTCTCCGGCGAAGGAGAAGGCTGACCAAAAAAGCAGTTCGTCTGCCTTCTCCTTCGCCGGAGATGGCAGCCAAATGACGCCGGCGAAGGTTTCGCCGGTTTTTTGTCTGAATGTTGTCGGAAGTTTGCTGGAATCTTGTTGACCTGTAATTGTAGGTCATCAACCGGTTTTTGGGTCTCATTGCTCTAAAATAATATGTTTAAGGGTTTAATTGCACATTTTGAAAGTTCAAGGGCCTAATTGACTCCTTGAGTAATGTTCAGGGGCCTATTTGACCTTTTTCCCTATTATTTTCTACATTATATCATTTCCATTACATAAATATCTTTATATTCCCTAAATTCATTTATATATTTCCTAAACCCCTCTCTACGTTCCATAAAATATTCCCCTACTATAAATACCCGATTACCATAAGTCAATCACATTACCAAATGTAGTGTTATTTTTCTACTATAAAAGACCTTAGTAAAATACAATAAAAGGGAGACTCAATCAATCATCGAAATCCTCTCTAGACATCTCATCTCTCTCCAGAGGGCACTCTATTATATATGTACCAAACTACCAAAATATAGTGAATTTCGACTTGGTAAAATCCAAAAAGGCTTGTAGTTTTCACACTTAAATTTTCACTTAAAATTATTGTGTTCCTTTATTTTTCTAAAATGTTGTTATTTCTTATTAACACACCAATATACTCAGAACCAAATTCGAATTTATAAAAAATAAAAAGTTTTATGTAAAGAATATTTGTTTACCATCAAAACATTTTTCTTAATAAAAGTTATAGTGATTTTTTATTTTATTTGAGTATTAATAGTATTTTATTGAAAGTATTAATTAGTAATAGTGACACTTGTCAGATCATTAAATTCAATTACAATTCCTTATCTAGATTTTTTTTAAAAAAATGTTTAATATTACGTTTAAATGTATCTATAAGTGTTATGTTAAAAAATTATAAAATAAATGTGTCGTGAGTATATTTGTCTTTCAGAGGATTATACGATGTATAGCACATATCGAGAGATTTAAAAACAAATTAAATAATTACAACATAAATACTTATAGAGTATAATGTTCTACTAACGAAATTCTATTGGTAAAATAATTATCTATAAATTTTAATAATTTACCACCAAATTTCATAATTTAATTATCATATTAGCATTTTAATTAAAATTGAATACATATTTTAATATACGATTTCTTAGTAACGAGAGAAACTCGTAACGACTATTATAAGGTATGCAATCCTTCTCAGTTGAGATAGTATTTATTTTTTTTAAAATTAAACTGATGACCTTCTAAAACGATGATCATGTTTCACTAATTTGGTCACTTTTTATGGGGAAGACTTTACATTTTTTATTAATCAAATGAAAAGTACATAGTAATATATATATATATATATATATATATATATATATATATATCACATAAAATATTGTACAAATTTTAAATAGGTTAAGGATACAAGATCACTAGACAACGGAAATTACGGCCGAAAGCAATAATTAATCGATATTCTAATTAATTTAACAAATCATAAAATAATAATGGGAGCATTCAGAATTAACACTATACAAATAGGAAAATCATCAATCATTATTGTGTGGACCATATTTTGTCTACGGTAAAATAATATATATTTAGTACAAAAATAATGTACATTGTATTCAGGGAATGCACATTATTTTTGTTCTGAGTGTATATTATATTGTATAATGTACATTCAGTACAAAAATAATGTATATTTAGTATATTAAAAATGTACTTTTTTGTTATGGTTCGCACAACGTTGTGTGGACCATGGTCCACATAATAATTTGCCGAAAATGATATATCATATATGGGCTCATATCGAGTAAAGCGCTCATCATGTGTCGTAATTAGGTGATTTTATTGATAGAAAAGAAATGTGGTATTAAAAGTTAAGTACAAACTGTTATCGGGCTAACACAATATATAGTTCAAGGATCACTCTAAAAATATTACTTCAGAAACAGGGTAATTAGATGTGATAAAAATTGCATAGTTGATTGGGAGACTCGTGACTTGGGGTATTAGACAAGGGTAAGAGAAAAAGTGAATACAAATTGGAGTATGTATAGTATTTACCCATACAAGTATTAAGTACATTCAATGCCAATTATGAATTAACTCAGTTGTGGGTAATAATTTAGATATAATACTTTATATCTATTTGGTTAGATTTTTTTTCGGCCATTTTTATATACTAAGTGTACACATATGTTGTATTTATATGCAGTTTAAGCATTTAGACATTACAAAAAAAAAAAAAAAAAAAAAAAATCAATCATATGACTACATGTGTAACTCAAATAGTTTATTTTAGTAGGAATATAAGGTGGTTACAACTAACTCCGTGTGCTGATCGACCGGAAATCAATAGCTCTCACTCAATACAATCCGAGCTTCTTTCCTCTTTAGGCATGAGCAATCCTTTAAGCCTAAAAAATGTGTTTGGTTTATCTTGGTATTTAATTAAACAAGTTAATTTAGTAAGTAAATTAAAGTGTCTAGGATAGATAATTTGATATTTAATATATTAATACAACTTTAATGGAGTAAAAGCTATTTTATATGAAAATTAATAATATAATATTTTCAACGCAATATACAATCCTACAAATACACAGAAGTAACTTGTATTTACTCATACATACACAAACAACGAGTTTTATTGGATAAAAAGAAAAAAGAAAAAAAAGAAAAAAAAAAAAAAAAAAAAAAAAAAAAAAGAGAGGAGAGATTCAAAGTGCATATAGTGTCATCAAGTAGGATATAATTTTATTTTATTTTTGTTGGTGATAAATAAATAAATAAAGTGAAAAATGAAAGAGACTTGACTTATGAGGTTGAAAAGAAGAAAACATATTAATGGTAAAGCCAAATTTTAAGGCGACTTATGGGATAAGTTTGCATGGAAGATTAGGCTACCTCCTTAATTACGTCCTACTTTTACTTTTCCCAAAATTTCATCTTTACTTTCCACAACAACTCTCATACATTTAATATTTCGATCAAATTTATCATTAATGATGGTGATATCTCTTATGTAAATTGACAATTTATTTTACTTAAATAATACTCTGTTTATCTTATTTTATATCTAGTTTAATTAATGAGATTGATATACAAATCGTACATGTCTATTCTCAATCTTTCTTGATTGGTCACACCAGGAAGTTGACCATGTCCAAACGAGTGGATAGCACGTGGATCGTTCTTTTAGCCATCTCATCAACCCGAGTTGTCTCAGCACAGGTACATGGTGTGACCAACTTGACTAACGCGTAGATGAACGCCACATACTCCTTGTCAGTAGAACTTCGTCATATACTCATATGTCCACTAGTCCAATGCTTTAAAAGTTGGTCAGAATAACTAACTTTACTTAGACACTCAGACACTCTTTTTATTTTTATTTTTTAAAAAACAAAATATTTAATTGTTGGAAGGCCAAAAATAGAGCACTCTACTCTACAATTGCTTGATCTAAAATACATGTCATCCCACGATGGCAAAACTCAAAATAGAAACAAAGAATTTACAAGCTACAAAAGATTGAAACAAGAAATGGTGATCATTTTCACTTTATATAGTATTGATTATAATTATGATACACCCACTATGTCCCTTTTGGGAATTAATGAATTTTTTGGGGGGAATGCCCATTTCAAGAAAATTAGGACTTTCAAATTATATGTCCATTGCCTACTAGCTAGCTCCCACCATGAAGAATCATGGTGGAATAATGAGATCCATTCAATTGTGTTAATATAATTAAAATTAAAATTTTGAGAAAATTACAATAATTTTGGTGTAATTTGAGAAAGAGATCTATTCAATTTGTGGGACCCATACATCATTCTTGGGAATATATATAGTAGCTATTGCAGGTCACATTCACAAAGTCATGGATTTCCTACATGCCATAATCCTTAAAAAGAAAATGTTTAGTTAAAGTTTTATGCTTCTCAATCTTAATTTTTGCTAAAGTTAAAATGTATAATAATTATTTATACATAATTTTTTTTTTTGTTTCTTTTAATGCATATAATATCCAATATTATATTAGTGCAATACTAATTTGAAGCTCGAGCCACACTCATAGAGTTGAACTCTTATTAGGGGGATGGCTAATACAAAACTCTTTAACATAACAAGCTTAATAAAAGAATGAGTGAATTCCATTTTTGGTCCTACTGTTATAGGGACGTTTCCAATTTTAATCCACATTAATTTTTTTGCCACTTTATAACCACTATTATTGAATGTGTTCCACTTTTAGTCCCACCGTTAGTATTTCCATCAAGAGGCCGTGTAATCTAGGGGTATTTTGACCTTTCTTCTCATCCACGACTATGTTTGACTAAAGAAATGAGAACATTAAACCTAAAACCTAAGAAACCTCGCCGGCCCATGTTGGAACGAACGAAACGATGTAGCTTTGTCTTCCCATTCTCGTTGTTCGAAGAGCCATCTTCGAATATCGGAGGAGGAGAACGAAGCGCCTGGATTAAAAGAGAAGAGACAAACATAAAAAGACTAAAATACCCTTTGATTATACGGCCTCTTGACGAAAATATTAACGGTGGACTAAAAGTGGAACACGTTCAATAACAGTGGTTGTAAAATGGCAAAAAAAATTAAAGTGGACTGAAATTGGAAACGCCCCTATAACAGTAGGACCAAAAGTGAAATTCACTCTAAAAGAATTAAACTTATGACTTTGTATTTACAACAATTGTTCATAAAATTGAACTTTTACATTGTACTTAATTTATATAAGTACAAGACATTTGCTAACCTCCAATAATGGACCTCAACACAATAGGGTGTTTGGAAAATAGTTGTTAGTTGATAGCTATTAGCGAGTTTGACTAGCTGATAGCATTAGCTGATTGTAGAAAGATGTTCGTAAATTAGATGTTAGCTGATAACTTATTATATGCAAAATGACCATTAAGGATATAATTTATTTTCTCAAAAACTAATTGAAAAAACTACTTTGATTAGCTTTTTAAATTTTAGCCATTTTGGAACAATAAGTTATTACAAAAAGCTGATTAACCAAACACTTATATTTCCTGTTTAATTAACCAAGTCAAACATCTAATAGTGATCCTATATAAGTTTGAACTCTAAACTTTAGTGCCCTTCATTGCTCCCCGAAGGAAAATGTATGTGGTAAATCATTGGATATGTTTCAACTAGTTTAGAAGTCTACAAATGATTGTACATTAATGCCCAAAATAAGGTCTTTTTGATTCTTATCCTGCACCGTATACTATGTAACTATTAACAAAATAAAATTTATAAACTTATTTTGAGTCAGTTGACCAGTTGAATAACTTCAACACTATAGGTCTTGTAAATGGTTGCAATGGAAGGGATTGAATCTATACATTCGATATAACTAATACCTATTTGTGTGTGGATAAGTGGATAAGTGTGTGTGATTCAAGCATATGGGGCCACGCGGCATGAATTTGTGAGGTGTCGGAGAGATGGAGGAGTTGGATGAGCCACGTGGGCAGAAACACTGTGCCAGGTAGGACGACAGAGTCCGAAGACGCAATATTGTGTACAGTTATGTTTGTGGGCTACGTGTAATTCTCTCAGCCTTTGTGGAAGCTGTGCATGTAACTGTCCCAACTTCTGACTTGTCGTTTTCGATTGTGTGCCACATAAGTGAACACCCCCTTGCCAGCTAGATTGTCCACACTCCATTCTATTCTATTGTTGTAATGTTCTCTCTTTCACTGGACCACCAATAATTTTGGTTGAAAATATCAACTCTATACTACCAGCTACTATGCTTAAGTACCTAATTAAGTGTGATCAATTGGTAGTTTATTCTGGGTTTATTTAGGCATTTCATTAGGTAAATTTGGGTAACTTGGTGTGAGGTTGTCAGATTGAGTGAAAGAGCTGAGACTCATCCATTCTTAATCAAACATCAGGAAATTGATCATTGACTTTGCGTATGGAACAGGTTTAAATCTTTAGGATAGTTATCTCACTCTTAGAGATGTCTATAATTCAACGGGAGGATTAGTCATTGTGTTCGACGGTGGATATCCTAAGTTACACATAAAAAAAAGAAGAAGGTAAGTTTGGGTGTGATGAAGAAAGTATAAAGATGAGTCAGGTGGGGGATATAGAGGGTGTTTGGTAAATGACTGCTAGCTGATTGGGTTAGTGAGTTTAACTAGTTGATAGCATTAGCTGGTTGTAGAAAAAGTATTTGGTAAATTAACTGTTAGCTGATCACATACAAAATGATTTTATGAAAAAGCTACTTTGAGTAACTTTTTGAATTTTAGCATTTTGGAACAATAAGTTGTTACAAAAGCTAATTAATCAAACACTCATATTAATTGTTTAACAAAGTCAAACAACTAATAGTGATCAAATAAGTCAAAATTGACTGATAAGTTAACTATTTTACCAAACAAGGCCATAGTTATCCCGGCCTATCCTTGACCAATTGCCATCAATGACTATACCGAAAGTAAAAAAGGAAGGACATGTTAGTCATATGGTAAACATAATTCCACCTTATTGATCTGATAATAGGTCTTGCTTGGCACGAGTAAGTGTTTTCAATCAGACATATCCCTAGAAAAGTAAACACCATATGGAATTAAATCGATCGTTACTTTCAATGCTCCACCAGATGGCATGGATTCATACCGTTATTTTTGTAGATGGAATTAGTGTTGCTCAATCGATATTTATTTAATTTTATGTAGCTCTTTTTTTCTTTTTCCATTGTTAACTAAAACACTATGCACTAAACATGTTAATATTGAAAGTTAATTAAACTACTGTTGTTTCTAAGGCAGGTTAATACCTAAACTTGACCACAGAAAAGACAACCATAATAAATGTTGGGCAGGTCACCTAAGATTGCCCAGAATAGTAAAATTTTACAGAAACCTTAATTAACGTAACTGCAAGTCTGCAACAAATGTTGACTTCAAATGGCACACCTCCCATAGCAAGTGAATTTTTTTTGGACGTACCGTTGGATTGGAGATTTAAGACTGTTTCATACTCAAAGTCAATGATCGAACCTTTGATTTGTTGATTAAAGATGAATGAATCTCTTTCACTCAACCACACCCTCAAGTTAAACTCATAGCAAGTGAATTGAACATACGGCAAACAAGTCAAAAAATGGTGGCCGAATGCATGCAAATATAACCCTCGTATTTAAAAATTATGAGTAATTTTTGTTAACTTCTTGGTCAAGCTAATATTTAGGTGTAATAATCAATTAATCATATGGCAATATTGACACACACACTAAACCATACATTTAACACTTGTTATGGACCTCAGTATAGTTCCTGCACCAAATAGAGAAAATGTTGTGCTTACATTTTTATTTTTTTTGAAAAAAAAAAAATGTTGGCTTTACTAGACCCAACATTATGGGTCTTGTCGTAAAAAAAAAAAAAAAAAAAACATTATGGGTCTAAGGCAAACTAATGTTGTGAAGCCCAATTCCAACTAAACTAAACTAAACTTGGGCCACATCGACTAACCTGTCGTGTCCAATCTAATTCCTATGCCAATTAAATGGACTGCAAATTATGCCCTGAACCCGTGTCCACATTGAATTGTGGACACGAGCCCAAAACGACGTCGTTTTTTAAAAAAAACGCGTCATTTAGTTAAAAAAGAAAAAATTCGCGCGCGTTTTGTCATTAACGGTGTTATTTTTTTTTTTTTTTTGATTATGAATGTACAGTTATGCCGTTATGAATGTACAGTTATGCCGTTATGAATATACAGTTATGCAATTATGAAATTATGAACACAGAGCTTTAACATTATGAACTTACAATTATGAACATATATAGTGATAAAATTATGACCATGGAGCTTTAAAATTGTGAATATAGAGCTTCGAAGATTATGAATGTACAGTTATGGAGTTATGAATGTACAGTTATAGAGTTATGAATCTACAGTTATGGAGTTATGAATCTACAGTTATGAGATTATGAATCTACAGTTATGAGATTATGAATCTACAGTATGGAATTATGAATGTACAGTTATTGATCGAATTATGAACAAAGAGCTCTAACATTATGAACTTACAATTATGAACATATAGTGATAAAATTGTGAACATAGAGCTTCGAAAATTATGAATGTACAATTATGGAGTTATGAATGTACAGTTATGGAGTTATGAATGTACAGTTATGGAGTTATGAATGCACAGTTATAGAGTTATGGACGTACAGTTATGGAGTTATGAATGTATAGTTATTAACATATAGTAATAAAATTATGAACATATACTCTTACAATGAAGCGGTCTGAAATTTAAAAAAAGAAAAAAAAAAAAAAGGAGATAACAGTGCCTAACGGTACTGTTACCCGTGTCCAGCAAGCATGCTGGACACGGGTCCAACGCATAACGATCCTTTACGAACGCATCAAGACATTTTTTTTAAAGCACAAATTTGTTCTAGACATGATTCAAGTGGTTGACCAACTAAAAAAAGTTAATACATAATTTTGCTTACAGTATGTTGCATGGTTTAATTTTAACCAGTGTCGAGGAACGCTGAAATCAGCCTCCTTTGCGGCTAGCCGCCTAGACGGTTTAGGCGACTGAATCCAGTTTTTTTTTTTTTTTTTTTTTTTTTGGTCGAATAATCCTCTAAAAAAATTAAAAATTGGGTGTCTAGCGTTTTTTTTCAACACTGATTCTAACTATTAAGGATATACGCACACTTTGAGAATTTATAGACCGTTGAGATATATCTTGTGGTTCCAATACAATAGTGGTTAGGGAGTGCAATTCTCATACCCTATGATTTACATTTTCAATGATGTAACTCTAACCTTCGATCTAACATACGCTACCCATACAAATTTAAAATTTCAATCAATTGAAGTACATTGAATCTCCAAAAACCATAGCAAAATGCTTACATGATTCTCTAACAACCGTAAAGTATAGAATTTAATTTTCATTAGTGAACATCTACAAATATTTCGAGGAACCTATAAACCATGAAAATACATCTTATAGTTCCAAAACAACTATAATAAATTACAATCTAAAATCTCCATCAATCAAACTACATCAAATCCCCAACCACCGCAAAATGCCACACTCATGCTAATTACAATTGTTAAATATAAAAGTGATAGTGTAAATCAAGAAACATAATGAATTAAGGAGCAATACAAAATGTTGGGAAGGGTCCACTTGAACATAATACTATGTATGTAGAAGTGAGATGATAAGAATATCCGTCGGAGAAACCCAAATGACACTAAGAAAATGGCACTTTAAATTGTAAGACAGCCCCACCACAGTGGAACACACAATTATCCTAACCTCCATAATCTTTTCAGCGACAAAATTTAATGCAAACCTTATCTCATCAAATCAATTAATATATTATTAAAAGGAAAAACAAAAAGATTAAAAACAACTTGGCATTATCCATCTGCCCCTGATGAAGGGCACATGGCATTCACTCATAGGTTAGTCATGTCGATTGAGTCACGTGTTGACGCTGAAGAAATTGAAACTGACACGATTGAGTTAAAAGATAAATTTATGCATTACTATTTAATTTTTTGTGGGTCACAAATATAATTTTTTTGAGTTAGACCACAAATTATTCTGAGCAAACTCTAATTGTAAGAAGAACTTTTAAATCTGTATTATATTCAAATTAATCCCTATTGCATCAAATCGGTCCAATTAAGAGACAAAGTGCTTACTAAATTAATTATTTCATATAAAATGGTGTTCAAATTCTTAATATTTCTTAAAAGACAAGAGTGTACGATCACTCAGACCAGACCAACCAAACTGGTTGGGACACAAATATAGTTAACTCTCAGTAAAACTGACACATTTACGCCACAGTTGTCCAATCACTTTTTGTCTTTGAATCGTTTAACATTTTTCCTTTATTTTATTAAACGTCACATCACTGATCGCCGCGTCACCTCTTATCCTCTTCTTGGGGACAAACACAAAGTGGAACCGATTCCTCGCCCCACAAATGGACTGTTTCTCCCCGCTGCAACGTTTCACCATTGAAAGTGGCGTTTAGGTTTTTCGTTAGATTTAATAATTGTTTTGAGTTTTCGATAATTTTAATGTAGTTCTTCTTGTGGTCGTGTTGTAGGTAACTGACAGCCGTTGATTTTAGATGATCGACGGTTATAAAATTACGCCTGTGTGAGGGACAACGTGCATTTGCCGCGTACATCGAAACTGGATAACGCTTTTAATATATTTACATGGAAAAAAAAAAAAAATTAACGATCGGAGGGCACAAAGCGACGGCGTTAGTAATAAAAAATTTTAATTTTAATTTCTGATTGAGACATCTGACCGTGAAACCACCCTTATCTTGTACGGGTTGCCGATGGGTAGAGTAGACGGCCGTTAACGGCGGCGTCGAACCCGATGGATCGGCACTTGATACCTAATGTCTGGTTTGACGGCGGGAGGAGCGGCGGCGGGTTGCCGGAGGGGAGGGGATTTGTGGTCCGTTTGTAAGATCCGAGCCACTTGTTTTGCATGAACCGGTGTTTTCTCCAAGGAGGAATATGGAGCCCTCGGCTCTTCAAGGACCGCCGCGCGCCGTCGCTCACGGCCTTGAGAATCTGCTTCAAGTGGTCGGGTTTTCCGACGAAGATTCTCGGCATTGACTGCACGAACCGCTCGTAGTGCTTCGTGGGCCGCGCGATCTGGAACTCGGCGGCGAAATCGAGGTCGACGAGGTATCGGGCGGCGGCGGCGGCGGCGTCGGGGCGGATAACGTCGATGAACTCGTGATTTCCGGCGGTGAGCCCGCCGGAACCCTCCCATTTCGTCTTGCAAACCGCCGCATTGTACCCTAACCCCCTCAGAAACCCCATCACGCTCCGCCGCAGAATCTGCTTGCTCGAATCCAAACACGCGTACATTTCAACCGCCGTAGCAACGTTAACGGCAAGAACCCGCATGAAAAAATCCGACTCATTATTCATCATCGCCGCCCCAAACCCAACCGGATCCTCACCCGCCTGACCCGTCTCCCACGCCGCCGACAAATCCCCCTCCTCATCCGACCCCTCCTCCGGCCACCCCTCGCCGGCATCCCCGTCAGCAAAACAAAACAGAAGATCCGAAAAACTCGGCGAGGATTCCTCACCATCACCCTGCTCGCTATGCTCGCTCCCACTGCTAACATATCCGGGTTCACCCGGATCACGACCGACAATCCGGGCCTTGACCCTATCATCAAGCGGGTCTGTCACTTTCTTCATCCTTCCAGAACCCACCATTATTCCTTGATTTCTTTCTGCAAATCTATATATATATACATATATATTCTTACAAGAAAGAATGTACCCTTCCCAAAACGATTTCTAATTTTCTATTTTCTATTTTCTATTATATATTATATGATGATGATGATAATAAGCAGCAGCTTACTGAGTTCATAAGCTGCCAATCTGTATATATATAAGGGCGATGAAGAGAAGAAGGAGCGAATAACTGTGGAGCAGCTGCTGCTTTAAAAGACATAATTCTCTGGCATTTATTTCCGAATATTCCATTATTTCACATATATTATATATTTTTTATTAAAAAAGAAACACAATTATAGGTTTCGCACCAATCTAAGTACATATTTTAACAACAAATCATGATTTTTATATGTGCTCAAATTTTTAATATGATATCTCATTAAGTGAATCGGAGTAAAATATTAATCTAATCTTGGCATGAAATATTAAGATAAGTAGTATGAGATATTTTCAACTAGGAATAATAAAGTTAGAATGATAAACACATCTTTTTACATTTGTTTTTTTATAATGAGAAAAATTTACACGTAACCACTATTAAGTATGTTACAGATTTAACTAAGAAGTAGTTGGTTTTAATCGATAAACTGCCTAGAAAACTCCTACGCCACAAGTAATTCATGATCTTTAGGTGTAAAAGTTATGTTCCAATCAATTAATCCTATTACCATAAGATTAAAAAGTAATTGTCTATTGCCATAAAAGGTTAAACTCCTTTTATTTAACCTTTAATTGATAATGGAAAAATGAAATTGTAATTTCAAGTTTGTTGAATATGGAAATGGTATTATAACAAAAGAACACTATTCATTCATATATACGAAGCGACTTTTTTTTAATCATTAATAGTTTACACAATGACTTAAATGTAGGTAAGTTAACCTCGGGTGGGGTGAGCTTGCCGACCCTTATTCTTGTTTGAGTTCCTTGACCTGACGGATGGGACCTGCAGCGAGCCCTCGGCGACTGAGAGGACTTGCGAGCCCCTCGGTGACTGAGAGGAGTAGTGGCAGTAAAAAGAATTCTTACTAACTAAACTAAGGAAACTCCTTTATTGACCTTCGAGGGAGGCTTACTCTGGGTAGAGTGAGCTGACCGATCTGTCCGAAGGGAACTTGAAGTGGAATAAGTCCTCTCTCTATAGTAGTAGCAAAAGAAAGAGCTCCTTACTAACCGTGACTAAAAGTCACTTCGCAAATAAGTAAATTTGCAACGATTGAAATCAATGAGAGAATAAATGGGGAAGAAAAACGTCTAAATTGCCCTCATTATTTTACCTATTAAATTGTTTCGACTACTTTTCACCTGCAATTTGGTTGTATGGACTGAAATTGAGAAAGAATGAGTAGTCACGATACTAAATTTACAGTTTTAAAACTCGTAGATTGCAATTAACAACACCTCAATAGTTATAGGACCAAAAGTGAAATTTTGTCAATTATTAATTTTCATATAATATAATTATATAGTTGTTGAAAAGATAATTGTTTGTTATTTATTATTCAAATCAAACCTTTCTTTATTGTTTTTTTTTTTTTTGTTAATAATTTTTAATTATTTTTCAATTTTTTTTATCTAATAGTACTTTTAATGTATTTTTTAAATATATAAATTTTATATACTAATACTAAACTTAATATTATAAAAAATTGAAATAAAAATAACTTCAATCAAAACACGTTAATCGAATCAGGCAAACAAAATGAGACATAGGAAGTAAAATAATCTCCGGACATACATATATTTCACAACATATATTATTATTATCATTATCATTATTAACAAATTTTAAAAATAATAATAAGGGAGCTCCCCTTAATTTGTCACCCCACTTTTCCTACATTTGAAGTGAAGTTTTGAGGCTCTCTATACATAGAGGGTCATTTTAGGTAAGAATATTATTTTTTCTAATGTTGCAAAATGCAGTGTCTAGAGTTTCAAAGATTTGGATTAAAATGTTATTCAAAATTCTCGTTTTACCGGATAAGGTGATATTTTGACTAAGTCAAAACATTTAAAATGATGGATTCACAATTTATCAAACAAGGCCACTATTAGTAAGTTATATTGTATATTAAAAAAAAAAAGGTTATTAATTTTAAAGATGCTAATAATTAGTAAATGTGAAAATAATTTATATTATAATTCTAAAAAAAAAAAATTCAATTAAGTAACTATATGCCACGTGTATCAAATCACTACTTTGACAAGATGGAGAGATGTAGCCCTAGTCCATATAGGACCCATTTCGATAAAGCCTAATATCATTGGCCATGATTATGTAACGCGATAATGTATACTTTATATATTAAATATTAAATAATATATGAATTATTGATCCAAAAAAAACTTCTGTTAAATTAAATATTTAATGCATAATTTCAACTATCTGAAACTGGAAACATTGTACGGCTACTAAAAAAAGAAATGAAACACCCATACTAAAATCGTATATTATTAACAAACAAATATTTTATCACGAATTGTTATCGAGAATCGAGAATTGCCATAATATTTGAACTTGAAAAAATTTAAATATTTATTTATTTAAATGTGGGATAATAATAATTAATAAGGATATACTTGGTGTATCCCAGCGCGTGGTGAGCAGATGAGGAGGCATATCCAACGGCGCCCGAGAATTATTCTTGTCGTACCCGGGTTTACGTGGAGGGAGGTGAGTGGGTGGGATGGTGGACCTGTCGGAGAGCTGCACGGGGTTGGCACGTGGGTGAAAACGCCACTAGAAGGTTCATCGTGTGGGTGGGGGGTGGGGGGTGTTTGGCTCTTCGTTAAATGGAAGAGGTGAAGTAGAAAAGGAGAGAGGGGATTTGATTTTTGTGAGGATAATGTGGAAATTGGGAAACGTGAGTGAGGTGGAAGCATATCTTGTGCAGAATAAACACAAAGTACAGTTATGCTGTGACTTGGTTCACAAGTTATTTAAACGTGTCAGAATTCACTTGGTTTTGAGTATCGCCATCAGTTAATGTATATTGCCAGGTTTTCTGGCCAGGTTGGGGAGAGAATTATAAGAAAACACAGAAAATAAAAATTAACGTGACTGAAACTTTAGTGAATGAGGCTTTTTCTTCTTTTTTTTTTTTTTGGATAAAGAGTCAAATAAGTTTCTACATTTTACTTGAAAAGTTAATTAATCTCTAAACTTTTTTAAAAGTGTAACTACACCATTTAGCATGTTAATGAAGTCCAAAAAATTGATAAATAATTTGCTATTACAGGTCATTAGGGTTTCGGGATCAATTTTATCCATTGCTGACAATTCGACGGCTGAATCGTCGCCTACCGTGTCTACTGGAGAAGGCGACCATGGTCACCTTTTTTAATGGAAGGTGGCCGGTTGGTAATTAACTCTTCGGTTTAATAAGAGAGAAAATGGTGCATGTGATGACCGAAATGATACATTGACTATAACAAACACTAATTTGATCCGGATGTCTGACGACTAAACAAATAAATGACTAAGGCTCTGTTTGGCAAACCTAGCTGAAAAGCTATAAGCTAGGAGCTGATAGCTGAAAAGGAGCTGAAAGCTGAAAAGCTATAAGCTCGGGGCTGAAAATTGAAGAGCTGTTAAACTAGCTGTTATGATTGAAAGTGTTTGGTAAAATTAGCTTTTTGATAAGCTGATAAATGTAAAAAGACTAAAAAGGACATCTTCATAAAATTTAAATTAGTTTGTTTACATATTAAAATTTAACATTTCGTTTTCCAAAAAAAAGTAAACATTTTTTAAAATAAAACTATTAGCATGATCATGATCTAGCATCCCATAATGAAGTAGCAATATTGTCATTGGTTGAAGCCATATTGCTTATTTAAAAATAACATTAATAATAATAATAATAATAATAATAATAATAATAATAATAAGCTAAAGATGAAGGGATTGATGTGAAGCCATATTGCTAATTTAATAATAATAATAATAATAATAATAATAATAATAATAATAATAATAATAAGCTAAAGATGAAGGGATTGACGTGAAAGTTGGGATAGGGGAAGAGAAAGAGTTTTAATTCATATAAGGTTAAAATATGTCATTACTTTAAAATAATAAGGGTAAAGATGGAAAAAAAGTTAGGAAACTAGTAGCTTATTTTGAAACGCTACCTAAAGTAGCGTTCCAAAATAAGCTCTTATTTTAAGCTATGAGCTTATTTGGGGAACATTACCAAACAGAGCTTATAGCTTATTAGTAGCTTAAAATAAGCTATAAGCTCCTAGCTTATCGTTGCCAAACAGAGCCTAAATTAGTTAAATTTTTTAAAGTTGAAAGAATAATTAAGGACTAACTTATTAATTTCGCTATAGTAAAAAGTTATTTGAGTAATTAACTCTTTGAATAATGTAAGGGATGATTTAAGGGCCGTTGCCCGTTGCATGCCCTCTAGATTGTTGCTAGTAATTTATTGGTAGTTGTGACTTGTGAGGAAACCAAATCGCCCACGTTGTTGCGGATTTCATTATATTGTTTATGTTATCACTTATCAGGCTATTAACTACCTTAAACTTGATAAGCCACGTGCATTATTGTGTTTAATATTTATGTCTTTACAGCTCCACCCCTCAAATAGTATACCAGTTAATTTAACAAAGTAAATTAAATCTGCTCATCATCTTAACAAATCTTGATTCTCTATGATTTTGTGAGTATTGAATACTAAAAGAAGAGTACGTACAAATTAAATATGTATTTAACTACGTGTGTGCGTAAATCTGCCGAAAATCAGATTAAAGCTGTGCTTGTCAATGTAGAAAATTAGACCAAGGTTGTGCTCGTCGATGTAATTGTGATATGTGGAAAATGATTTCGGTCAAATTGTGTCAAATGTCAATGATTTTCCTTGATTCCGATTTTTCAGTCTCTTCCAAACACTGAAAACTAGGAAAATGATTTTCATAAATAATTTTCTGGATTTTCAAACACATCCTTAGAGCATCTATATCAGGGTTAATGAGGGGTTCTTTCACGAATTTTAAGGCATTGCATCCTATTTGGAGGTGAAAGAAATAGGTGAGAGAAAAAAATAACCTTCTGTAAAGACCCACATAATAGAAAAGTGCATGTCAGAGAAAGTTGGAGTAGCTGTGCGCGATATGCGAACAGCAGTAGCCCCCACGGTCGTGCCTGACACTGCTTTTTATATTATTTTTTTAT